CACTCCCCAAATTTTTCAGTCTGAATATTACAACACTCCAAATTTTTATGTCATCAAAATCTGAATATTCTACACTCAAAATTCTACACTCAAAATTCTACACTCAAAATTCTACACTCAAAATTCTACAGAATTTTTTACACTCTGAATTTTTTACACTCTGAATTTTTTTTTTACACTCCCCAAATTTTTCCACACTATGAAATTTTTCAGTCTGAATTATTACATTACAAGTTTTTACAATCAGAATTTTTACAGCCCAAATTTTTTTGTGAGTGTAATAAGTCACACTGAAAAAAATTGTAGTGTAAAAAAAATTTGGAATGTAATTACACTATGAATTTTTCAGTCTGAGTTATTACACTCCGAAATTTTTTACACTACGAAATTTTTCAGTCTGAATTTTGTCTGTTGAATTTGAGGATTTGAAACTCTCTGCGCTGAATATTTAAAAGGTGTAATTTTTATTTTGAATTTGAAACATACTGAAAAAGTACATTTACAATTTCTAAATCAGGACTGGAACACGAAACTTACACTTAAAATTTGAGCAACACAGATTCAGAATAAAAATAATTCAAACGTGTTTTTCAGAGTTAAAAAAGTCAAAGTGAAAAATTTAGCGGAATTAAAAATTTTAAATCTGACAGAACAAATGCTCCTCCATAAACTAGGACAGAATGGAGCCAGCAGAGCCCAGTCGGCTCTGTGGAGCGGCCGACAGCTTCAGAGCCTGGAACAGTCAGAGGAGTTTCAGTTTCAGTTTCAGTTTGGTGTTTCTCCTGCGAGCGACGAGAATCTGTGTAAAAGGTGATTTCCCACAACGCTTCAATTACTGAGAAACTACAGACTAGAAACCAGGTCTGAACCAGGTCTAAACCAGGTCTAAACCAGGTCTAAACCAGGTCTAAACCAGGTCTAACCAGGTCCCAGGTCTAAACCAGGTCTAAACCAGGTCTGAACCAGGTCTAAACCAGGTCTAACCAGGTCTGGTCTAAACCAGGTCTAAACCAGGTCTAAAACCAGGTCTATCTGAACCAGGTCTAAACCAGGTCTGAACCAGGTCCCAGGTCTGAACCAGGTCTAAACCAGGTCTGTCTAAACCAGGTCTGAACCAGGTCTGAAACCAGGTCTAAACCAGGTCTGAACCAGGTCTGAACCAGGTCTAAACCAGGTCTAAACCAGGTCTGAACCAGGTCTGAACCAGGTCTGAACCAGGTCTAAACCAGGTCTAAACCAGGTCTGAACCAGGTCTGAAACCAGGTCTGAACCAGGTCTAAACCAGGTCTAAACCAGGTCTGGTCTAAACCAGGTCTAAACCAGGTCTAAACCAGGTCTGAACCAGGTCTGAACCAGGTCTGAAACCAGGTCTAAACCAGGTCTGAACCAGGTCTGAACCAGGTCTGGGTCTGGTCTGAACCAGGTCTGAACCAGGTCTGAACCAGGTCTGAACCAGGTCTGAACCAGGTCTAAACCAGGTCTGAACCAGGTCTGAACCAGGTCTGAAACCAGGTCTGAACCAGGTCTAAACCAGGTCTGAACCAGGTCCCAGGTCTGAAACCAGGTCTGAACCAGGTCTAAAACCAGGTCTGAACCAGGTCTGAACCAGGTCTAACCAGGTCTGAACCAGGTCTGAACCAGGTCTGAACCAGGTCTGAACCAGGTCTGTCTGATCTGGTCTGTCTGAACCAGGTCTGAACCAGGTCTGAGTCGTGGTCTGTCCTGGTCAGTGGTCGTCTGGTCGTGTCCTGGTCGTCTGGTCCTGGTCGTGGTCCTGGTCCTGGTCGTGGTGGTCCTGGTCGTGGTCCTGGTCGTGGTCCTGGTCGTGGTCCTGGTCGTGGTCCTGGTCCTGGTCGTTCAGCCGCTCGTGTTTCTGCTCAAAGCCGTTTAACAGATCAACATTCTTAACCAGATCACATTTTCTCTTTTTCTCAAACCCAGAAAAACCCGGCGCTGAGTCCGTCTGTGAACTGGGAGATTTGAGGACAAACCGAGCGCCGTTTGAGCGCCGTTTGAGGGCCGTTTGAGGCCGTTTGAGGGCCGTTTGAGCGCCGTTTGAGGGCCGTTTGAGCGCCGTTTGAGCGCCGTTTGAGGGCCGTTTGAGGGCCGTTTGAGGGCCGTTTGAGGGCCGTTTGAGGCCGTTTGAGGGCCGTTTGAGGGCCGTTTGAGGGCCGTTTGAGGTTTGAGGGCCGTTTGAGGGCCGTTGAGGCCGTTTGAGGGCCGTTTGAGGCCGTTTGAGGGCCGTTTGAGGCCGTTTGAGCGCCGTTTGAGGCCGTTTGTTTGAGGGCCGTTTGAGGCCGTTTTCTTTGTTCCCTTGAGGGCCGTTTGAGCTCCCGTTCTCAGGCCGTTTGAGGGCGTTTGAGTCAGGACGTTTGTCTGTTTTCTCTTGGTTCTTGGGCTGTTCTCCTCTCAGCTCAGGTGCAGAGTTTTACTTCTGACAGTTTGTCACAAGAGTTCACTCCTCACATATTATTACATCATATTTAATTATATTTTTTATGTGACGCTGAAGAAACGACTCTGTGATACAGAGAAGTGTTCTGTGTCTCCTCAAAAGAACTTCACACAAACATCCACGTCTCTGATGACAACAAAAGTGAAAATCTACAAACTGGGCCCAAAGTGTCAATATTCTGTCTGCTCATTATTATTTCACCGTCCAGGAGCTGGAGTTCACCAGAGCACAACAAGTTTCACTGGAGTCGTCCTCCAGGACGACGACAGAGACCTGCTGTCCTTGTCCTCCTCCCGTCCTCCCGTCCTCCCGTCCCCCCGTCCTCCCGTCCTCCCGTCCTCCCGTCTCCCCGTCCTCCCCGTCCTCCCGTCCTCCCGTCCTCCCGTCCTCCCGTCCCCCCCGTCCTCCCGTCCCCCCCGTCCTCCCCGTCCTCCCGTCCTCCTCGTCTCCCCGTCCTCCCGTCCCCCCGTCCTCCCGTCCCCCGTCCTCCCCGTCTCCCCGTCCTCCCGTCCCCCCGTCCCCCCGTCCTCCTCCCCCGTCCCCCCGTCCTCCCGTCCCCCGTCCTCCGGTCTGAGGACCCCCCACAGGTTCAGGGTTTAGGTCTGGTGACATGTTTGGCCACTTCATCAGTTTCAGCCTCAGCTTCAGCAACACACCAGGTCTGACCACAGAGACACGTGTGTTTGTGCTCCTCACCTGGACGTCACCACACACACGTGTGACTCCATCTGAACCAAACAGGTTCATCTTGGTCTCATCAGAACCACAGGAGTGTGATCCTGTCCTCAGTCTTTAACAAACTGTTGGTGAAGTTTCTCGTGCATCGTCTTTAGACGAGTCGTGCAGCGTGAGGTCTGAGCTCTGACTGACACAAACTGTACACAAACACTTCTCTGTATCACAGGGGCGTTTCTTCAGTGTCCCATAAAAAATATAATTAAATATTTGCAGAGTGAACTCTTGTGAGAAACTGTACATCTCTTTTTCCTCAAAGAAAACTCCAGAGCAGCTTCAGTACACCACCTGGAACTGCCCATTTCTACTCAACTCATGTCCCTTTAGTCCTGGTTTAGACCCGGTTTAGTTCTGGTTTAGTTCTGTCTTTTTCACAGTCAGGTCTGAGGTGTAGATCTGTGTGAAAAGTGAAACTTCACACATCAAACAAACGAGCGCAGGAAGTGCTCACGTGACCCAGACCTGCTCCACTTCAGCTTCACAACCACACGTCTCCTGTGCAGATGTCCTCCCGTCCCCCGTCCCCCCTGCCGTCCCCCGTGTCTCTGCTCTAATGTCGTTTATACCAAGACTACAAGTCCCATAATCCTCGGCTCTGTTCTGTTCTGATGTTTCCTGGTCACACTCAGACCTGGACTTGTGTTTTTTTGTTTCATTCACGTTTCACTCACAAACCTGCACATTCAGAGTTCTGAGTTCTTGTCTCAGACTGAAAACACTCTGTTCCACCTTGTGATGTCATTGAGGAGGGAACAGCCTCAGAACATTAGAACATTAGAATAAACGTAAAAATCAGAAGAGTCACTTTGTGTGACTAAGGAGATTTAAACTACAGGGACACTGGAGTAGGAAACTTCAGTCCTGCTTCAGTCCTGCTTCAGTCCTGCTTCAGTCCTGCTTTAGTCCTGGTTTAGTTCTAATTCAGTCCTAGTTTAGTACTGCTTTAGTCCTGGTTTAGTTCTAATTCAGTCCTAGTTTAGTATTGCTTTAGTCCTGGTTTAGTCCTGCTTTAGTCCTGCTTTAGTCCTGCTTTAGTCCTGCTTTAGTCCTGCTTTAGTCCTGGTTTTAGTCCTGCTTTAGTCCTGCTTTAGTCCTGCTTTAGTCCTGCTTTAGTCCTGCTTCAGTCCTGCTTTAGTCCTGCTTTAGTCCTGCTTCAGTCCTGCTTTAGTCCTGCTTTAGTCCTGCTTTAGTCCTGGTTTAGTCCTGGTTTAGTCCTGGTTTAGTCCTGGTTTAGCCCTGGTTTAGTCCTGGTTTAGTTCTAATTCAGTCCTAGTTTAGTACTGCTTTAGTCCTGGTTTAGTCCTGGTTTAGTCCTGCTTTAGTCCTGGTTTAGTTCTAATTCAGTCCTAGTTTAGTACTGCTTTAGTCCTGGTTTAGTCCTGGTTTAGTCCTGCTTTAGTCCTGCTTTAGTCCTGCTTTAGTTCTAATTCAGTCCTGGTTTAGTACTGCTTTAGTCCTGGTTTAGACATGGTTTAGTTTTGGTTTAGCGCAAATTCACTCTGGTCCAGTCCCCGGTCCCGTCCCCGGTCCTGTCCCGTCCCTGTCCCCGGTCCGGTCCCCGGTCCGGTCCCCGGTCCCCGGTCCTGTCCCGTCCCTGTCCCCGGTCCCGGTCCCCGGTCCCCGGTCCCCCGGTCCCCGGTCCCCGGTCCCCGGTCCCGGTCCCCCCGGTCCCCGGTCCCCCGGTCCGGTCCCCGGTCCGGTCCCCGGTCCCCCCGGTCCCCCCGGTCCCGGTCCCCGGTCCCCGGTCCCCCGGTCCGGTCCCGTCCCCCCCGGTCCCCAGTCCGCCCGTCCCCGTCTCTCCCCTCCCCACCAGTTGGAACTCGCGGCGGCGGTCGTAGGCGTGCTGGATCCCGGGGTCGGCCCACAGCGCTCTGATGGACGGGAGGTACTGCAGGAAGATGGCGCTCTCCAGCTGCCCGGTCACCACCTCGGCCGAGCGCGTGTCGAACGACATGAGCAGCTCGCCGTGCTTCTGGTTACTCTGGTCGCCCCACGGGATGTGCAGCTTCTCCCGCGCGTCCACCAGCACACGGACTCCTGAGGAAGACGAGGAGACGAAGAGCAGACGGTTAAACACGAAGACGAGAGGAAAGACCTGAACCTGAGCGAAGACCTGAACCTGAGCGAAGACCTGAACCTGAGCGAAGACGAAGACCTGAACCTGAGCGAAGACCTGAACCTGAGCGAAGACGAGACGAAGACGAAGACCTGAACCTGCGCGAAGACGAAGACAGGATTAAAGGACCAGCCCATTTCCATCAGAGATTTAATTCCAAATAAAATTATGTTAATTCTGAATTTAAATGAATTCCGGCTTAAAAAGTCCACGTTAACATGTATTTTATTGTTTTCCAAATGAAAACGATTATTCAGATTTAAACTTGATTCCAGAGGAAGTGCAGGTTTGTTCTGAGCAGGACTTTGGTCTGAAAATCTCCAGAAAAATGAGAAAAATGTGAATGAACGACAAAGTCAGACAAACCAGTTTACAAAGATTTGGACCAGAGACGAGAGACGAGAGAAGACGACGACATGAGGAGATGAGAAGACAAGGAGACGAGAGGAGACGAGAGGAGACAAGGAGAGGACACGAGGAGATGAGAGAAGAGGACACGAGGAGACGAGAGGACACGAGGAGAGGACACGAGAGGAGATGAGAGGACACGAGAGGAGATGAGAGGACACGAGGAGAGGACACGAGAGGACACGAGAGGACACGAGAGGAGATGAGAGGAGATGAGAGGACACGAGAGGACACGAGAGGACACGAGAGGAGATGAGAGGACGACGAGAGGACACGAGAGGAGATGAGAGGACACGAGAGGACACGAGAGGAGATGAGAGGAGATGAGAGACACGAGAGGAGACACGAGAGGAGATGAGAGGACACGAGAGGAGATGAGAGGACACGAGAGGAGACGAGAGGAGATGAGAGGACACGAGAGGAGATGAGAGGATGAGAGGACACGAGAGGAGAGATGAGAGGAGAGAGAGACAAGAGGAGAGACACGAGAGGAGAGAGAGGAGGAGATGAGAGAGAAGAGGAGAGAGAGAGAGACAAGAGGAGAGACAAGAGGAGAGGAGAGGAGACAAGAGGAGAGGAGACGAGAGGACAGGAGGAGAGTAGGAGAGGAGGAGAGTAGGAGAGGAGGAGACATGAGGAGAGGAGACGAGGAGAGGAGACGAGAGGAGAGTAGGAAAGGAGGAGAGGAGAGTAGGAAAGGAGGAGAGGAGACAAGAGGAGAGGAGACAAGAGGAGAGGAGACGAGAGGAGAGTAGGAAAGGAGGAGAGGAGACAAGAGGACATGAGGAGAGGAGACAAGAGGAGAGGAGGAGAGGAGACAGGAGGAGAGGAGACGAGAGGACAGGAAGAGAGGAGACGAGAGGAGGAGAGGAGGAGACATGAGGAGAGGAGACACGAGGAGATGAGGAGAGGAGACGAGGAGAGACAGTTGAAACGTAAGAGTTAAACGTTGGACATGAGGAAGCACGTGAGACAAAAGGGAAGTTTCCTGTCACGCCACAAATCAACAAAACTCGACTCTCGACGACATCGACACTTCACCTCACAGTTTCACTCTTCTTCCTTTTCTGACTCAAAACAAACATTTGAAAGATTTTTAAATGTTTCCAGCACAAATAAAAAAAGAGGATTTTCTTCACACGCCTCAGACTCACAGCGACGACTTTCTTTTACTGGTTTAAACGAGTTTTATTCACCAAAACAACAGAGTCACTTTCACTTTCATTTTCAACTCTGAGCAGAACTGTGCAAAAAAATCTAAATATAAACAGAATCGATATCGTGAGCCGCTGTATCGATACATCACCAAGAGGATTTTTATGTCTATTTTTTGCTAAATAATTTGGTTCCAGCTTCAGTTTTGTTGTTTGTTTAGTGCAGGATGGGCAAACTTTTTCACTCTTGAGTCACAAAGGTTCTTTTTTTTTTTTTTTTTCCATATTTGATTCATTTATCATCATTCAAAAGTTGCAGATATGGTACATACCTCGATACAGGGCACTTTTGGTTTGATACGATACATTTCAAATCGATTCAATACAGTTCAATTAAAAAATAACATTAACAAATTAACAATAACAAACATTTTAATCCTCAAAACAGTGAAAATGTCAAATCTGTCACATAAACGAGTTTCCTCCCACTAAAAACTGTAGCGCTGTAACAAAATAATTTAGTAAAACATACCAAAAAATACTCTTGGCGATATATCGAAACAGCAGCTGACAATATCGACACTGTATCATCACATTAAACAAGTAAATATTTCGGTATTTCGATATTTTTACACACACATAGGAATTAGGAGTGTAACACTAACCAAAATATCGTGATATGGTATCGTCAAAAGTCTCACAATAATATCGTGGACCATCACAATATATCGAATCACAAGTTTCTTTGCTAAAATTCATTGTTATGGTGCAGCAACAGCTAAAAAAAACACAGAGGAACTACACAGACCATGATCCTTTGCTCCACTTCAGTGCAGACGACAAGAAGAAACAACAGTTCTGACACTTTTGAGTCTTAGTTCTTTGGATTAAATCTTGTCAAGGCATTTTAAGAGGAAAAAGTTGCATATTTACAGTTTTGTTAGGCTCCACAAAATATCGCAATAAATATCGTACCGTGAGATGTAAATCGTGAAAATATTTGGATATTCTTACATCCCTAATCATGAGCCGAGTCACAAAGGTTCTCAAATTTGACAGAAGGACCGAACCAGGAGGAGATGGAGGTTTTTTTTTTTGGTAATCCACCTCACCTCACCTCACCTCACCGGAGCAGAGGACTCACTCTGTCCCTGCGTCCAACAGATCAGTGTGTGGAGGAAAAACAACTTTCTCCAGATAAACTCTGACAAGACACAAGTCACAGAAACAAAGGGACAAAGGGACAGTGTCAGCATCACCTCCAGTCTCTCTCTCTAAAACCTTCAAATCAGGCAAGAAATCTCAGGGTAATAATGGACTCAGACTTGAACTTTAACAGCCGCATCAAATCAATAACATCTGCAGCCTTTTACCATCTAAAAAACATAGCAAAAATCAAAGGTTTAGTGTCTAAATCAGACTTGGAGAAACTTATCCATGTGTTTGTCTCCAGGAGGTTAGATACTGTAATGTTCTGCTCACTGGTCTCTCCAAACGAGCTGTGAGATGCTGCAGAACATCCAGAACATCCAGAACATCCAGAACATCCAGAACATCCACAACATCCAGAACATCCAGAACATCCAGAACATCCAGAACATCCACAACATCCACAACATCCACAACATCCACAACATCCACAACATCCACAACATCCACAACATCCAGCAACATCCAGAACACTGCAGCTCAGGTCCTGACTCGAACTAGGAAGTATGAGCACATGCGTCCTGGTCTCAGGTCTCTGCTCTGGCTCCTGTGGCTCAGAGACTTTAAAGCGTCTCTGCTTGTACAAGTGTCTCCACGACCGAGCACCAAAGTCCATCTGTGACATGTTAGTGTCATATGAACATCTCACACTCTGAGGAGCTCAGGAACCAACTCCTGCTGGTGCCAGAGTCACGACTAAACAAGGGGAGTCAGAGTTTCAGGTTCATGCAGCTAAAACCTGGAACAGTCTGAACATGTGAGACAGACTCTTCTGTGACGCGTGTTTAAATCCAGACTCACATCGGTTCTGTTTCTCTGCACACGACTCTTCTCTCTCATTTATTAATTCTCTCTTTTTTATTTTAATCTTTAATTTTGTGATGATTATTTATGTTTTGATTTGATTTATTGTGATTTTAATGTTTTTCTTATTCTGTAAAACACGTTGAATGACTTTGTGTACGAATTGTGCTTTACAAATAAAACTTGTTTTGCTCATAAGAGACAAAAAAAACACAGGATCTGTAGAAAACATGTCCATGATTTTGAAATATCCCATAATTGAAAATCATTACAAAGAATTATAATAAAATCTCTGTGTTTCAAGTCCCACAGTGTTTACGATCTACTGAAATGACTTTTAAAACACTGAAATGTTTTATTATTATTATTATTATTATTATTATTGTTCAAGTTCGGTGGGCCGGATTAAAACGGTTAAAGGGCCACATATGGCCCCTGGGCCGTCGTTTGCCCAGGTTCAGAGGAAGAAAACTCGTTTATGTGACACATTTGACATTTTCATGTTGACGATTAAAATGTTTGTGTTTCATTTGAACTTTAAACACAAGTGATTTAACAAAAACTTTAGTGTCACACACACAATCTACACTTTATTTTTATTGAACCATATTGAATCAATTTGAAATATATCGAATTGAATCGAAAGCTCATTGTATCGACGTGTGTATCGTATCAGCAGCTTCTGAATGATCCAGATCTAGAACAGGTGAGAAAAATATATCGTTTAATCTACAGCATCGATATCGCATGCGGCTGTGTCGATATGTCGCTAAGAGTTTTTAAAATAGATTTTACTGAATTATTTTGAGTAACAGCTGTTGAGTAACAGATATCGTATCGTGAGACTTGGACATCGTTACAGCCCGAGTGTCAAACAAAAAAAACGATTTCGAACTCTATCTACAATATTTGAGTGAAGGTTTATTTCAAAAATAAAAACAGTCTAGTGCCGAGTTTAATGTTGATCTTTTATTCTGTTTTTTTGCCCTGGACGTTGTTCTGCTGCTGGAAGAAAAGAAAATATCAATGAAAATAGAGACTGAGACGAGGGACGGAACGATATCCAAAACTCTGTACGATATTATCACGATATAAATCTCACAATTGGATGTTTATTGTGATATTTTGCAGATGTTGAAATAATTGTACATGAGACACTTTTGCTTTTAAAATACCAAGAAAAGATTTTGGTGTGAAGTATTTCCGTCATAATCCCAAAAATTCAAGTCAAAAACATGTTTCTTCATGTTTGAGCTGAAATGAATCATGGGAAATGTAGTTTCTGATGTTTATAAACTGTTGCTTCTTAAAACCTGCATTTAAACAAAAAAACTTGTAAAATCGATATTATTGTGACAGTCCATGATGTAGGGCTGGTATCATTAAGAAGTTGCCGATACGATACATTCCTCGATACACAGGCCACGATACGATACATACCTCGATACACAGGCCACGATACGATACATACCTCGATACAGTGCACTTTCGATTCGATATGATATATTTCAACTCGATTCGATACAGTTCAATAAAAAATAAAGGCTAAATCGTGGCTGTGATACTAAAGTCTTTGTTAAACCACTTTTTGTGCAAAGTTCATCTGAAACAAACATTTTAATCGTCAAAACAGTAAAAATGTCAAATGTGTCGCATAAATGAGTTTCCTTTCACTCCACAAGCAACAAAACTGTAGCTGTGACAAAATAATTTAGTAAAACACACCTAAAAATACGAAATATCGATACAGTAGCCCACGATATCGATACTGTATCATCACATTAAACGATACGATATACCGATATTCCGATATTTTTGCACACCCCTACCATGATGTTACTGTGAGACTTGACGATATGAGATCAACATGTCTCTAACCGAGACTGTTTATAATAACAAAAAAAAACTTAAATTAAATACTGAAAAACTAAACAGACACTAAAACGGAAAAATGAAATAAACTGTTTTCACATTTCAGTTTTTTTCATTCTTAATTGAAATTTAAAAGAACAAACGGCGCACGGACGCAGAGCCGGGATTTCACTTTTGTTTTTCACTCAGTCGTGTCGAATCTCACTGAATCGAAAGTCCAGTGTATCAAAAAACATATCGTATCGTGGTCTGTGTATCAAGGTCGGTATCGTATCGGCGACTTCTGAATGATCCCAGATGATGATCTTCTCCCTTTGCTCTCTGTGCTGACTCACTCCCCCTTCCGTCTAACTGCAATAATCAACCAGGACTAAAACAGGACTAAACTGGAACTAAAGCAGAACTAAACCAAACCCTAAAATTGGACCTAATTGAACTAAACTCGGACAAAACCAGGTCGAAACCAAAATTAAACCAGGACTGCTTCCCGTATTTTTTTATTTTTTTTTCTCTGATATCGTATTTCTCCCAGACTAATCAATATTTCTGAACTTTTTTACTTTTTTCTGATGTTTTCCCACAGTAACATCTGGGATATTGATGTTTGTTTGACATTTGCAGCTGATGTGACGCTAACAGGAGGCACTGCTCTGTCTCAAACTTTATGAAACTTTCATCTCTTTCATCTCAGTTTTATCTGAACACACTCACTCTCAGCTTTTGGTGTAAAATCAAACTCGTCAACAGGAGTTTTTCTTGAGTTTTTAGACAATCTTAAACTTTTCTGTCAGCGTTTGTTTATTCTCTCTTTTATTCTATGATGATTATTCACGTTTTGATTTGTTTGTTTGTGATTTTATAACGTATTTCTTGTTCCACTGCGTCTCCATAGCAACCACTAAACAATCCTCCATAGACACACATGTAGAACTCCTGTTTGAACTGATTTACGGCAGACGACGGGCCGGAGCGCAGACGAGGCTGGAGCGCAGACGGAGCGCAGACGAGGCTGGAGCGCAGACGACGGGCCGGAGCGCAGACGAGGCCGGAGCGCAGATGGACCGAAGCGCAGACGACGGGCCGGAGCGCAGACGAGGCCGGAGCGCAGACGGACCGGAGCGCAGACGAGGCCGGAGCGCAGAAGGACCGGAGCGCAGACGACGGGCCGGAGCGCAGACGAGGCCGGAGCGCAGACGACGGGCGGAGCGCAGACGACGGGCCGGAGCGCAGACGACGGGCCGGAGCGCAGACGACGGGCCGGAGCGCAGACGAGGCCGGAGCGCAGACGAGGCCGGAGCGCAGACGAGGCCGGAGCGCAGATGGACCGGAGCGCAGACGACGGGCCGGAGCGCAGACGACGGGCCGGAGCACAGACGAGGGCCGGAGCGCAGACGAGGCTGGAGCGCAGGGACCGGAGCGCAGACGACGGGCGGAGCGCAGACGACGGGCGGAGCGCAGGACGCGGAGCGAGACGGGCCGGAGCGCAGACGAGGCCGGAGCGCAGATGGACCGGAGCGCAGACGGGCCGGAGCGCAGACGACGGGCCGGAGCGCAGACGAGGCCGGAGCGCAGATGGACCGGAGCGCAGACGAGGGGCCGGAGCGCAGACGAGGGGCCGGAGCGCAGACGAGGGGCCGGAGCGCAGACGAGGCCGGAGCGCAGACGGGGCCGGAGCGCAGACGGGCCGGAGCGCAGACGAGGGGCCGGAGCGCAGACGAGGCCGGAGCGCAGACGAGGCCGGAGCGCAGACGCAGACGACGGGCCGGAGCGCAGACGAGGCCGGGGCGCAGACGGACTGTAGCGCAGACGGACTGTAGCGCAGACGACGGGCCGGAGCGCAGACGAGGAAGACGTTTTTCAGAACATTTTTTTTTATCGAGTTTTGACAGAAGGTGAGAAAAGAAAAGCTAAAACTGAAAGGGGAGATTCTCCCAGAGACGAGTTTAAATTTAGGATAAACGTCAAACTAAACCACAAAAACAGAAGTAAACCGTTGCTTAAACCAGAGTCAGGACTAAACACTGAGTCAGGACTAAACCAAAACTCCAGAAACTCGAGGAGAACGACTCAACGTGACATTTACGATCTGTTCATTCAGGAGTTTCACCGAGCATCAGACTTTCTGTAAACTCCATCTGGAAAACTTCAGACAAATACTGTGACCGGGACTAAACCAGGACTAAACCAAGACTAAACCAAGACTAAACCAGGACTAAACCAGGACTAAACCAGGACTAAACCAGGTCTAAACCAGAACTAAACCAGGTCTAAGGGCAACAAATAAACCAGGACTTAAAAAGAACTAAACCAGGTCTATTTACTTGACCTTATGAGACCGGATTTAGGACTAAACCAAGACTAAACCAGGACTTACGTAGGTTCAGTGTAGAACTAAACCAGGTCTAACAGCAATAAAACAGGACTAAAGCAAAACTAAACTAAAACTAAAACTGGGTCTAACTGACCTAAACCAGGACTAAATTAGAACTAAACATAAAATTAGACCTACTTGAACTCAGGTGGGATTAAACCAGGTCTAAACTAGTTTAAATCAGAACCGAACCAGGTCTAAGTGCAATAATCAACCAGGACTAAACAAAAATTAAACCTAAAATTGGGACTAATTGACCTAAACTTGGCCAAAACTGGTTCTAAAGTAGAATTAAACTAGGACTAAAGTAGAACTAAACCAGGTCTAAACTGAAACTAAACCTAAACTAGTATTAAATTAGGCTTATTTGACCTAAACCAGGACTAAAGTGGAACTAAACCTGGTCTAAACTTTTTAAATCTGAAGTGAACCACATTTAACTGTAATAATAAAACAGGTCTAAACTAGAATTTAAGCAGAACTAACCCTAAAATTGGGTCTGACTGACCTAAACTAGGACAAAACTAGTTTTAAAGTAGAACTAAACCTGGTCTTAACTATTTTAAATCAGAAATGAACCAGGTCTAAAACAGGACTAAAGCAGAACTAAACTAAAACTAAAATTGGGCATAACTGAAGTAAACTAGGTCTAAACCAGGTCTAAACCAGGTCTAAACCAGGTCTAAACCAGGTCTAAACCAGGTCTAAACCAAGTCTAAACCAGGTCTAAACCAAGTCTAAGTGGAGTAATAAACCAGGACTAAAACAGGACTAAACTAAAACTAAAAGTAAAATTGGACCTAAATGAGCCAAAATTAGTTTTAAAGTAGAACTAAACCCGGTCTAAACCTGGTCTTAACTATTTTAAATCAGAAATAAACCAGGTCTAAGTGCAAGAACCAGGACTAAAACTGGACTAAACCAGGACTAAAGCAGAACTAAACTAAGACTAAACCTAAACCGAGGCCTAAGTGAACTAAACCTGGGCTAAACTAGTAGTAAAGTGGATCTAGACCCGGTGCAGACCCGGTGCAGACCCGGTGCAGACCCGGTGCAGACCCGAGCCGCTCTTGGCCCCGCGGCTGTGGTCGAGTCTCGGACACAAAGCTCCGGTTTAGCCGCTTTAGCTCGGCTCTTCCCGGGACTTTTCCCGCACGTCCCCGCCGTCCCCGCGGCTCCAGCCCGCCGTGTCCCGCCCGGGTCCGGGTCCGGGTGCGCGGGTCCGGGTCTGGAGGCGCGTGGGGCCGGCGGGACGGCGGTTCGGTGCGGCTCGGGTTTTTGGGTGTGCCTCCGTGTTTATGCAGCGCGTCCTCAACAGATGTGCAAACTTTCCCAGACGCTTCGGGCCTCCATTACGCGTCCGCCGTGCGGGTGAAACCCCGCGTCCCCCGCGTCCCCCGCACACACCCCGCACTCCCCGCGCCTTTACCTTTGATCACGTTGCTGTAAATCGTCCCGCGGAACTCCTCCCGGGCGTTTTGATCAAAATCTTGCCCGTGGATGATGCGCATTTGCTTCAGGAAGGTGGACTTGCCGCTTTCTCCGGCGCCGAGCAGCAGGATCTTGACGAGCCGCTTCACGTACGTCTTCTCCCGGGAAAGACACCGGTCGATCTCCTTGGACTTGCGCATCTGCTCCACTTCGCCGCTGTTCAGGAGACACACGGGCAGACAAACTTTTAAGACCGAGCGGGACGGCAGGAAGTCCGCCATGTTCGCGCAAACTTCATCGAGGCTGTTTGGGAGGCGCGTTCACGAGGCCAGGCTCACACACGGAGGCGCGCGCACAAGACCAAGCCCCTTCCTCAGAGTCCGGAAGTGACCGAGCAGGGGCGGAGCCACGGAACGGCAAAAAGGGGCAAAAAGTCAGAGGGAATTTTTAAAAAGTACACGAAAACTAACTACAAGTGTTTTTTAAATGACTAAAATAACATTAGGAAGTGACTGGAGCAGGGGCGGAGCCAGGGAACGGCTCAAGAGGGCGAAAGGTGAGGGGCAAATAAAATAAAAGTACATGAATATTAACTACAAGTGTTTTTTAAGTTATTACAATAACATGAGGAAGTGACCAGAGCAGGAGCAGAGCAAAGAAACAGATAAAAGTATGAAATAAATAATAAAGTAAAAGTACATAATAAGTGTTTACAGTGACTCTGGGGCGTGTGTGTGTGTGTGGGGGGGGCACGAAACACCAGGGAAACGGTAAAAAGTAAAGAAAAATGGCAACATAAAATAATAACACAAGATGGCTTCAAAGTGAGAGCCTCTCCACAGATCTGACCTGTAACTGGGAGAACAACAGAGTCACAGAAGCGTCTGAAGTTCACACTGAGACTCACTCGAGAGACGGAGCCCAGAGGAAACTGGTCTGAGGGCCACGTTTGGCCCCTGGGCCGCACTCTAAACACCAATTTACAACACGACACGTCTCCACAGCAGAAGAGACGAGAGGAAAAGTAAAGTCACACAGGCAGCAGAAAAGTTACACAGTGCAACTTTAAATCTATAAAATAAACTGTAATGGTTCAGACGTTATTTATGTGGCTTTACTTTTTTGTACTTTTCTTTTTTTATTTTCTTAAAGTGATTAAATTTATATAATAATTAACACATAACTTTAGCCGTTCGTGTTTTCATGGTGCTACCACATTTTTATTTATTTTTTTCCTGATAATATTTTATTTATTATATTTATTTGCTTCTTTTTCATGATCTTATTCATTTATCACTTAATCTTATTGGTTTAAATTTTATTACTTAAAATTAATATATTAGTTTTGTTGTCATATTAATTTAGCAGTTTTATATTATTAATTTGAATTTCAGTATTTTAAATGACTTTATATTTTATTATATCATTTTTGAGGAGGTATAAAGACAAAATAAAATATAAAACACAATCATTTAGAAAACAAAGCAACATAAATCCAACTAATCTTTCCTTGCAAACTTTACTTTTTCACTTTCTCCTCTGATTTAATCTAAATTTACTCTTTTAGTTTTGTAAAATAAATAAACAGAAAAATAAAATCAGGGCTTCAGATTCAGACAGTGCAGTGTCTCCCTCTAGCGGCGGGTCCCGGTACTGCACACAGACTCAACACTCAGAGCAGAGACGCGCTCAGCCTGTGGGGGGCGCTACTGTCTCTAACTGGGATTAAACTGGGCTTTTTCAGACTTTGTAAAAATCTAATTTTTACAGTATTTCACTTTCCAGTCTTAAAATATTCGTGACAGAAAATGTTTTGTACATGTAAAAAAAATAAATAAATAAATAAAATAAAATAAAAATAAAAAAAATTCTGTGCCTGAACTTCAGCAACATCAAGTTTTAGCTCATTTCTAAAAAAAATAAAATAAAATAAAATAGTTAAATGACTTGTGCACTTTTGTCAAACAAAAATATAAATAAAAACAGAATAAAAACTATAAATTCAAATGATTCTGTTGAAATCCACAAATCTGAGCTCAAAGAAAAAACAAAATACTTTTACTTTTTACTCTTAAAGTACATTTTTAAACTCGTACTTTAATACTTTTACTTTTTTCATATGGTACTTTTACTTTTACTTGAGTTTTTTTTTCTCCAGTATCTGTACTTTTTTATTGAAGTAACAGAGTCGAGTCGTTCTTCCTCCACAGTCGAGTCGTGTTTTAGTTTTTCTCTTCCTCCTCGTCTCCTTCTTCTTCTTCTTCTCGAGTTAAACTGGACACAGACTTATACCTGCCTGCAGGGGGCGCCACCTACACTCAAACTACACTCAAACTAACAGTGTGTTGGTGTCAGAACATAAATGACTAAAAACTGTGATAGTCCTGGTTTAGTCCTGGTTTAGTCCTGGTTTAGTCCTGGTTTAGATCAGATTGGTCAAAAATAGAGACACAGGGACATTTCTTGTATAAACTGGGACAAATCAGTGGTTTTGTTTAAATCTGTGGGACAGAGACACAGGGACGACTTAAAAAACATAAAATATATAAAAATAGTGAAATCTAAAGCACGACTTATTATGACGCATGATGAAAAAACTCGTCGTCTCGTGTTGATCTCGCGGTCCTGATCTCGCGGTCCTGATCTCGCGGCGTCTCGTCTCGTCAGAACCACAGCTTCGTGTGAACGAGCACGTTGCTTTAAACTGCTCAGACTCTTTTTGTGTCGTCGCTAAAAAGGAGAAAATTATAAACGTTTTTGATCGACTGATGAACCCGGAGGAGACGTCACACTTTTTTACATTTTTCCATCTTTTATCAAACCAGATCTCTATAAAACAAAACAAAGAAAACACGATGGGCGTGTTTAAACGACATTTGGTGATTATTTTCATTCTGCTTCCTGTCGATTGACGCCATTTTGAGGACAACTCACGATTCCAAAAGTGCAGAGTTTTGTTTTGAGTCAGTTTTTCTAGTGACAGCCTCAACTTTCCATCATTCTGGAACCTGTGGACTGGAAATATAAACCTCACAAAACAGAAAAAGATTTGGACGTTTTTAGTACATTTTTGGTCACATTGTGAATCTTTGAAAATAATTTTGTTAAAAAAACAGAATTAAAATGTGACGCCTTTTAAAAACTGTCCTAAAAATACAAAGTTTTCTCTTTTAAAAACATGTTTTAGAAATGTGAAAATGATGGTTCTAAGTTTGTCCTCTGTGGGGCTCCGCAGAGACGTGGAAAAAGTGACTCAGCCAAATGAAGCTCATGGAGGGCGGCAGCAGCAGGAGTAAATTCCACATCAGGAAAAGGAATTTATTAACGGACAAAATGTTAACAGGATCATGTGGAGCAGCTTCTGGAGAACATCTAGACCAACATCATAAGGTTTGCAGCAGAAACTGAAGTGAATGGAGCTGGAAAAGGGCCCGTGTTCACTTCCTGTTTGGATCTCGGCGCTTCGTCCATTTCTGTAAACGAGCGTCTGGAACATTTACACAAACAAAACAAATGAAAAAACAAACATGTGAACGTGTGAACATGTGACTGTGTGATTGTGGCGTCTGTGGATGTGACAAACACAAACTCAAACCAAAAACAACTTTAGTCTAAAAGTTTAATATTTTCTGAAGGCAGCGTCACATTTTAGTGCAAGTTTCCACGGGTTTTTACGGAGACAAAAAACAAGAATTTAAAAGTGAAAATGTGAACATAAACTTGAACAAATCAGATTCTCTCCATGTAAACAATAAACTGAAACAGAGGTTAAGTCACACCCGAGTCGACCAATCAGACGAAACACAGAGACTCCGCCCACAAACGCACGGCAAACAACTGGGCGGGGCCTGGGGGAGGGGCGGGGTCTGGAAGACTAAAGGGCTGGGGCCTGGAGGACTAAAGGGGCGGGGCCTGGAGGACTAAAGGGGCGGGGCCTGGAGGACTAAAGGGGCGGGGCCTGGAGGACTAAAGGCCTGGACCTGGAGGACTAAAGGCCGGGGCCTGGAGGACAAAAGGCCTGGACCTGGAGGACTAAAGGCCGGGGGCCTGGAGGACTAAAGGGCCGGGGCCTGGAGGACTAAAGGGCCGGGGCCTGGAGGACTAAAGGCCGGGGCCTGGAGGACTAAAGGGCCGGGGCCTGGAGGACTAAAGGGCCGGGGCCTGGAGGACTAAAGGGCGGGGCCTGGAGGACTAAAGGGCCGGGGCCTGGAGGACAAAAGGCCGGGGCCTGGAGGACTAAAGGCCGGGGCCTGGAGGACAAAGGGCCGGGGCCTGGAGGACTAAAGGGCCGGGGCCTGGAGGACTAAAGGGGCGGGGCCTGGAGGACAAAAGGCCGGGGCCTGGAGGACTAAAGGGGCGGGGCCTGGAGGACAAAAGGCCGGGGCCTGGAGGACTAAAGGGGCGGGGCCTGAAGGACTAAAGGGCCGAGGCCTGGAGGACCAAAGGGCCGGGGCCTGGAGGACTAAAGGGCCGGGGCCTGGAGGACTAAAGGGCCGGGGCCTGGAGGACTAAAGGCCGGGGCCTGGAGGACAAAAGGCCGGGGCCTGGAGGACTAAAGGGGCGGGGCCTGGAGGACCAAAGGGCCGAGGCCTGGAGGACTAAAGGGGCGGGGCCTGGAGGACTAAAGGGCCGGGGCCTGGAGGACTAAAGGGCCGGGGCCTGGAGGACTAAAGGGGCGGGGTCTACAGGTATAAGGAACAGTGATTGGTCTCTCCAGACTTCAGACTCCGCCCCTGTCGACAGGTGTTTGTCTGTGATTGGGGCAGTGCTGTGTGATGTCACGAAGTGCTTGAGGCAGAGTTTGAAAAAAAAAATGCACAACAATAAAACAAAAAAAATAGAAACGTGTATCATGTTGTGAACACATCGTTTACAGTTTACAAACTAAAATGTTTAACGTTCCACAGTGCGGCTTTAAACTTTTATATCTCCATGGAGACAAGCAGGAGACACAACCAAGCCACAGGTCAGATCTGTGGAGAGGCGAGTCCGCACAGTAAGAATAAATGTTTTTAATGTGTTTGTGAGACATTTGTAACTGAATCAGTGGGACATGGATGAGTTTAAAGCCACACTGCGGAACACTGAAGGCAAAATAAGAGCATCTCCACGGAGACAAGAGCCCACGAGAAGTTACATCACAGAGCAAAGTGAAGTCTGCAGTTTCTCAAAATCTTAAAAGTTATTGTCTTCAGTGCCCCACACAGTCTGCGCTGAGGAGTGAAGCAGTTTGAATCAGGCTCAAAACAGTCGCTGCCGCTGAAGCCGGAGACGGAGAGGACGACGTTTGAGTCTGGACTTTAAAAACACAGAGGAGCGCTTATGGGTTACCACCTGATGATGTCACAAGTATTATTCTTATTAAAGTAAGAGTCAAAAGTATTTGTGACAAGTTTTACTCCTGTCAGAGGAACGTACAGAGCACCTGTCGGGGAATCGGATTTATTATTTAAAGTGACAAACCGGACATTACGCTGCGTTCTCTTGCGCTCGGGACTCGGGGGGAAAAACTGACGTCCACCTCGAGAAATGCAGCGGAACGGCCAATCAGATCGAGGTTCTGAAACACAAACTGGGGCGAGTTCGGTTGGATTTACGTCACAGTGAAACGTCGGCGTCGCAGTAAACGGGAGAATCGTGTTTTGGTCGTGTCGATGTTTTCGATTTGTGTTTGTGTAGTGAAAGTGTCTCTAAAAACTTTGTAGTGACATTTAGATTTTCTTTCACATCATTTCACAGTAACGCGAGTTTTTTCCTGAACACGTAAAAGTGAAACTGACAGAACGTGAGCGAACAGACTGTAAGACGCTCAGTCAGAGGGTTGAGTTTTGTGAGATTCAGACGAGGTTCTAGTGAGTTTACGGTGCCTCAGAGATTCATAAACGACTAAATTAACTTTAAACTTTCTCAGGCTTTAGATTTTCCGACTGTGGCAACGAATTTACACCGGACGTCGGGAGAACTGACTCAGATTTAGGGTTTCAGGTTTAGTCTTAAAATCATCTGGTTCAGTCCTGGGTCAGTCCTGTTTTAGTCCTGGTTTAGTCCCGGTTTAGTCCTGGTTTAGTCCTGGTTTAGTCCCGGTTTAGTCCCGGTTTAGTCCCGGTTTCACCTTGGATTACATTTGATTTAGACCTAGTTTAGATCTGGTTTAGTCCCAAAATCAGGACTTTTCAAAGTGACATAAAAATGAATCAGATGTGAAAGAGAAGAGCACTTTTACCGAGTATTTCAAGTAAAAAAATATAATAAAACGTGGAGTATTTGACGTGTTTGGGGCAGTGAAGACGCAGCATCAGGTTTGTCACGTTGTTCTGTACAGTTTTGTATCGTGTTTTTGCGTATTTATGGAGAACAGGCTTGTGGGCGGAGCCTCGTACAGACTCCTGGGCTCTATACATGCATCAAGAATTTCAGACTTCCGGTTATCACACAATTCAAACTTGGAAGGATTTTCTGAAAGTGAGGATCAAACCTCCATGTTTGTTTTCCCAGTGGGACGTGTCTGTTGTCAAAGTCGATCTTTTCAAGTCTTTTGAACCATATCACTTTTGTTTCTGGTTCTGATATTGTCATATTTTAGTTTTGGGATTCGGACATCATAATTGTTGTGGTTATTGGATCCTAACAGTGGAAAACGACTCGAGAAATGTGTTTGTGAACTTCATAAATGCAAAAGTGAATCAGATGTGTGTGACTCAAACCTCCGTTCAAACTGTTTCTCTTCCCAACGGAATTGAAAAATAGTGAAAGGTGAAGGTGATGGGCAGGATTGATCCACAGGAAGAAACAAAAAGGAAACATTTGTCTGACTAAGAAATCATCCTGAGTTTACAGAGAACATTTTGTATGTGGAGTGACTCTCACTCAACCTCAGTTATGAATTTAAAAAGTCAACGCCAAAGTGAAAAGCACCAACTGTTCACCAAGAAACACCTTCCACTGCAAAGACCAAGACGTGATGTTTCTGTAAAACCACAAGAACAAGAAAGTGCAGCTCAGTCTGTTTGTCTTCTGCTCTTCTCCATTAACAAACAGGATTTTGTTTTGTCGTCGCTCCACACACAAAATGTTCTCTGTAAACTCAGGATGATTTCTTAGTCAGACAAATGTTTCCTTTTTGTTTCTTCCTGTGGATCAATCCTGCCCATCACCTTCACCTTTCACTATTTTTCAATTCCGTTGGGAAGAGAAACAGTTTGAACAGGAGGTTTTAGTCACACACATCTGATTCACTTTTGCATTTATGGAGTTCGCAAACACATTTCTTGAGTCGTTTTCCGCTGTTTGGATCCAACAACCACAACAATTAACAATGTCCGAATCCTAAAACTAAAATATGACAATATCAGAACCAGAAACAAAAGTGAAATGGTTCAAAAGACTTGAAAAGATCCACTTTGACAACAGACACGTCCCACTGGGAAAACAAACATGGAGGTTTGATGATCAGTTTTTCAGAAAATCCTTCCCAGTCTGGATTGTGCGACGACCGAAAGTCCCAATTTCTTGATTCATGAATTCAAACCGTGTCTAGACGACGACTCAAACATGACGGATGAGTCTAAAACCTCTTCAGGCAGGTTTGTGATGAAGAACAGAGTTAGAACACACGAGAAAGAGACAAAAGTCCAAAACAAAAACCTAAACCGTCGGGTGTGACTTAACCTGGTGGTCGTAGGCACCTTTTCCCTTCTTTTCCGTTTGAAGTCGGGTTGAAATAAACAGGCACAAAAAAACAAACAAAAAAATTACAAAGAACTATCGAAACAAACCAAAAATACTGATTCTCAAACTGCAGATTCTGTTTTTTTAGCTTCTTTTCCTTCATTCGTTCCTTAATTATTTGAAAGTGTTATTTATTTTGGCAGCTCGAGGCCTCCGTACTTGTAGTTTATTCCCTAAAAAACAAAAGGATTGCACACGGTCCCGTCTTTTCTCAGGTGAAGCGCCGGCGTCGATGTGGCACTTTGGTACAAATTAAATTAAAGTAAAATGCTACATAGAAAAACGGCCGATGGGAGAGACCTGGAGCTCACGTCCGCCACAGAAACACGGACGAAAAAAAACTAAAACCAGGGTCGGAAAAACTGAAATGTTCTAATTTAGTTTATACTGAGACTCCATGTCCCATAATCCTCTGCTCTGCTCTGCTGCTTCCTGGAGTTGTGTTTTGTTTCATTCACATGTTTCACACACAACTTGAAAACACTCTGTTCCACCTTGTGATGTCATCATGTGGTGATACAGGAAGTGCTCCACTGTGTTTTTAAACTCCACACACCTTCACTAGAATCATCTTTGGATCTGGGATTTCTTCACCCAAACTCGACTGAACTAAAGGGAAAAAGGAGCTGCTCACCTGCCACCTCATGACATCACAAGGTGGAACTGGTGTCGAACTGGTATAGACCTGGTATAGACTGAGTTTAGACCGAGTTTAGAGCTGGTTTAGTTCTGGTTCAGTCCAAGTTTAGACCAAGTTTAGACCAGATTTAGACCAGGTTTAGACCAAGTTTAGACCAAGTTTAGACCTGGTTTAGACCAAGTTTAGACCTGGTTTAGACCAAGTTTAGACCAAGTTTAGACCTGGTTTAGACCAAGTTTAGACCAAGTTTAGACCAAGTTTAGACCAAGTTTAGACCTGGTTTAGACCTGGTTTAGACCAAGTTTAGACCTGGTTTAGACCAAGTTTAGACCTGGTTTAGACCAAGTTTAGACCTGGTTTAGACCAAGTTTAGACCTGGTTTAGACCTGGTTTAAACCAAGTTTAGACCTGGTTTAGACCTGGTTTAGACCTGGTTTAGACCTGGTTTAAACCAAGTTAGACCTGTTTAGACCTGGTTAGACCTGGTTAGACAGACCTGGTTTAGAGTTTAGACCTGGTTTAGACCAAGTTTAGACCTGGTTTAGACCTGTTTAGACCTGGTTTAGACCAAGTTTAGTTTAGACCTGGTTTAGACCTGGTTTAGACCAAGTTTAGACCTGGTTTAGACCTGGTTTAGACCTGGTTTAGACCTGTTTAGTTTAGACAGACTGGTTTAGACCTGGTTTAGACCTGGTTTAGACCAATTTTAGACCTGGTTTAGTCATTTCAATCTTGACTGAACTAAAGGGATAAGGATCTGTTCCTTTCATGACATCACAAGGTGGAACAGTCTGAACTGTGAATGAAACAAACAGAACTCCAGGTCTGTCTGAAGAGGAACATCAGAACATTAGAACATGATTTGAAGTTCTCAGGAGGAACTTTAACGTCAGATAAAACCTTTAAATCAATTTAAATTCAGAATCATCACGTTGAATATTTTTGTCTTATCTTTATAAACTCGCTCAAAAGATTTAAGATCAACTTTGAAAACTGAATCTGGAACCTTCCCCACTCCTCCTCCTGCCGCCTGCTCGTCTCCATGGAAACAGAACTTCACCTGAATGTTCCACAGTGTCACATTAAACCTGCCACAGTCACAGAACAGACCTCCTGGATTAGACCTGGTTTAGACCAAGTTTAGTCCTGGTTCAGTCCTGGTTTAGTTTCCTGTGATCACATAAATAAATGTCAGATAAATCTTTTAAATGCCGCACTGTGGAACATTCTCGTCAAAGTTTTATCGTCTCCGTGGCGACGAGCGGGCGGCGGAGCCTCAGTGAAAAGTTCCGCAGTGTGTGAGCGGAAAAGAGCTTGAAGAACAAAAGTGAAGAGTTTGTAGTGACGTGGTTTTTTTTTAACATTCTAAGATGCTGTTGACGGCCGCCTCCAGCGCCGAGTCCTCGCTCTGCGCCGGCGACGAAAAACCCACCGACGACGAAACCAAATGTCCCGGCGAGAAAGACGAGGCGTGGAATTTGAGTTTGAGATCGTTTTTGGGTCGTTTGTGCGCCCCTCCTCCATCGCCTCCGCCTCCTCCGCCGCCGCCGCCGCCGCCGCCTCCGCCTCCGCCCGGGTCGGAGTACGGAGGCTGCAGCGGCTCTGTCCTGAGGGAGGAGGGCGAGTCCGGAGAGGGAGCGTCCGGGAAACAGCGCTCGTGTGCGGGCGCCGGGGCCGAGGGGGCGGGGTCAGAGGGCGCGGGGGGCGGGGCCGAGAACACGCCGGACCGAACGCCGCAGCAGAAGTCCTCCAGGAAACCGTCTGAGGGACAGAGAAGAAGAAGAGGGTCAGAATGTGTCAGATGCCCTCCCAGAGTGTCAGATTTACCACGTTTACATGAAATTTAGCTTTGAATAAAAGTAATTTAACTCTGAATAAATATAATTTAACTCATGAATAAAAATAATTTAACTCTGAATAAATATAATTTAACCCTGAATAAAAATAATTTAACCCTGAATAAAAATAATTTAACTCTGAATTAAAAATAATTTAACTCTGAATAAAAGTAATTTAACTCTGAATAAATATAATTTAACTCTGAATAAAAATAATTTAACCCTGAATAAAATAATTTAACCCTGAATTAAAATAATTTAACTCTGAATAAAAATAATTTAACTCTGAATAAAAGAATAAAAATAATTTAACTTTTGAATAAAAATAATTTAACTCTGAATAAAAGTAATTTAACTCTTGAATAAAAATAATTTAATTGAATAAAAATAATTTAACCCTGAATAAAAATGATTTACTCTTGAATAAAAATAAATTCTGTTTTAACTCTTCCAGTCCTGAGTGAGACACCTTAAAAAAAGAACATTTATCCAGTTTAACGTGGAAACACAAATTCACTGTTATTATTTCCATGGAAAGTCCAAGGAGAAGATCTGACTTGAGAACAGAGTTTGAAGTGAGACCTGGGTCGAGCAGCACGTTGCGTTTGTCTTGCGTGAGGCCGCTGCGTTCCTCCTGGTTAAACGTCCGATCGATCATCACGATTTCAGATGAAGGACTTGACCTCTGGAGAAAAAACACAAACACGTGAAGAAAACACACGAGTCGACCCGGCCGCGTGACGCTCGTGTGAAAACGAGGGGAGAGAACCACAAAATGGAGTCTTGAAAATAAGAGATTAAAGTTTCCTCAAACATGAATCTGTCCAAATAAACGCCAGAGGGTCAGAGAGAAGAAACAACCAGAACCTGGAGAAACACATGAGGAGAACAGTTTGGAGAAAGATCTGATTTAAAGTCCAGTCCTCACCTCGGCCTCCACCATCAGCAGCTTCCTGTATTTATCCACCATGGCTTCAGTTTTATTGACGATTTGAGCTGCGACCAACTCGAACTCCTCGTCCACTGAAACACAAACACCTCACTGTCAGACCTTCAGACCTTCAGACTTTTACACAGAGCTTTTCTTGCCCAAGGACACAAAAGCAGCGTTTATCTGCAGCCATGTTTATGACAAGAGCGGGATTTGAACCTCCAACCATCAGATCGACACTGAACTGAACTGAACTACTGTCGCCCCCAAGTCTCCTGGAACAGTTTTTACATCACAGCTGCGACACGTCAGGGTCCAGAGACGCCAAACGTGTAAAGGACGGATAAACGACTGAAGGAGATGTGATATGTTTGACATAGTTTGAGTTCATGTTTTCATTGACGACATTCACACGTGTCATTCAGAGTTCTGCTGCTTCAGTGAAACTGTGTCCAAACGTTTGTCTGTGTGGACGAGGGTGACGTGACGGGTGAATTTCCTTCAGTTTAAAGTGAAGAACATTTAGATGGTGCTGCTGCTGAAGTCCAGAGAGATTTAAACACTGACTGATTGTTAACATGTCTTTACCTTGAGAGAACTCGTCGGAGCTCGGTGGCGCCCCCTGGAACACGTTGTATGGCAGCAGTCTGTTCAGGACGTCCTCAAAAGAACTGAAGCGGGTTTTTTCTGGTCCCAGGGCGCCCAGGTGATCCTTCCTCACCTGCTGCAGCAGCCTGACACGAGACGGAGCAAAGACACCAGATAAACACAGAGTTTGGATAAAAGTTTAAACGTTTTTAAAGAGAAAAGACACGTACATTCCTCCTCGAGTGAGCGGCGCCACACGCTGGAGTCCGACCTGACGACACAAGGAAAGAACATTATTTACAAAACTGGAACTATAAGAAAAAGAATCAAACATTTAGGGCTTTAAACTGAAAACAAAAGTGATAGAACTGATTAAAATGACTAAATTCCCTGTAAAACTGTAGTGCTGCAGGTTCATTTGTTTCCCTTTAACCTCTGAGTCTGTGACAGGAGTTTAAACATTATTATTTATTATTAACATGATTCATTTACATATGTTGTTGTTATTTTGTTGATGTAAAGTGTTTAACTGTTATTTATATATGTGTGTCATTTTAGTTGGTCAGATGCATTTGTGGTCTGAGGTCTGAGCTCTGAGGTTTCTTTAGATCTGCGTTGTGTTTTTCCTCCAGAGTGAGACTCCAGAGTTCATGTTCTTCCAGAGGATCAGCTCTGGACGTCTCCATTAAAACTCTGCTCTGTGAACGTTACACACGACTGAACCTCAGTAAAAACAGAAGAGCAGGACGTACCTGAGAGTTTAGCGTTGAATCTACAGTGATGGTTTTTGTGGCTGAAAAAACAAAATCACAAGTTAGAGCAGAATATAAAAATATATTTAAATAAATGATTCAAGTGCAGAGTTACCGTGAATGGGAGTGAGCTTCAGCGCCGCAGACACAGAGCTCTGAAAACAACAACAACAAACACAAACACAACTCTTTAAAACATTTAAAGTTTCATTCTCCTGCTGCATTTACCAAACCACAACACGTCTGGGAGGGCATCTGACACACACACGTCAGCAGCAGAAGGTCACATTCTGCCGTTCCAACACTGACGTCTAATTGTCTCCCACTTTTTTTTTCCTTGGTCGGAGCGACAGCACTTCAGCTTTTATTTCAACATTCTGTCAGTTCAACACACAAGGAATTATCAAGTTTAGTCCTGGTTCAGTCCTGGTTCAGTCCTGGTTCAGTCCTGGTTCAGTCCTGGTTCAGTCCTGGTTTAGTCCTGGTTCAGTCCTGACATGTAGGAGGCAAAACAGGTGAAGTTCCAAACAGGTGTCAGAACGGCGACATAAAAAGTGTGGAAATGTTGGAACAGGAGGACGAGAGGACAGGAGGACGGGAGGGCATCTGACACAGGGGCAGGAGGACGAGAGGACGAGAGGACAGAAGGACGGGAGGACGGGAGGACGGGAGGACGAGAGGACGAGAGGACAGAAGGACAGAAGGACGGGAGGACGAGAGGACGGGAGACGACAGGACGGGAGGAGGACGAGAGGACAGAAGGACGAGAGGACGAGAGGACGAGAGGACGAGAGGAGAGGACGAGAGGACGGGAGGACGAGAGGACAGAAGGACGGGAGGACAGAAGGACAGAAGGACGGGAGGACGAGAGGACAGAAGGACGGGAGGACAGAAGGACGGGAGGACAGAAGGACGGGAGGACAAGAGGACAGAAGGACGGGAGGACAGAAGGACGGGAGGACAAGAGGACAGAAGGACGGGAGACAGAAGGACGGGAGGACAGAAGGACGAGAGGACAGAAGGACGGGAGGACGGGAGGACAGAAGGACGGGAGGACAGAAGGACGGGAGGACGAGAGGACAGAAGGACGGGAGGACGGGAGGACAGAAGGACGGGAGGACGGGAGGACGAGAGGACAGAAGGACGAGAGGACGGAAGGACGGGAGGACGAGAGGACGGGAGGACAGGAGGACGAGAGACGAGAGGACAGAAGGACGAGAGGACGGAGGACGAGAGGACGAGAGGACGGGAGGACGAGAGGACGAGAGGACGGGAGGACAGGAGGACAGGAGGACGAGAGGACGGGAGGACGAGGAGGACGAGAGGACGGGAGGACGGGAGGACGGGAGGACATCTGACGTGTGTCTCACCTGCTCTTGTGTGGCGGCTGAAGGTAAAGGCGACAGTGACGTGCAGTTCGCCGTCTGCGTCACCAGGAGGCGCTGCACCGGGCTCCCGGACACTTGGTTCTGCCCGGCGACCAGCGTGATCCGCCCCGGCGCGGACGCGGCTTGTACCGGCGCGGGCGTGGCGCCGGAAACTCCGCCCACCTGATTGAGGATGAGCTGCCCTCCCGCCGTCGCCGTGAAGCTCTGCCCCGCCACGATCTGCACGGCGTTCTGCGTGGTGATCAGCGCGTTGGCGTTGGCGTCCGTGGGTCCGTTTTGCACGGTCGTCGCCGGCGTCAGCGCCAACGAGCCGGGGAGGATGAACTGCCCGGGCGCGGCGGCGTTGGCCTGCTCCAGATTGGACTGCACGACGATGGACCCGTTGGCGACGTTGGCGGTGGAGGTGGCGGGCTGCAGACCCACGCTGTAGACCGTCTGCGCGCCCGTCTGCAGCGGTTTGGGCTGGATGGGCCTCACCAGCGCCTGCGTCCCGCCCGGTCCTCTCTGGATGATGATGTTCTGCAGCGGGATGTTTTTAAACCCGCCCACCTGGGCCTGCGTCGGCGCCAAAACCTGCTGCCCGCCGGTGGACGTGGCCAGAGGAGGGCGGAGCACGATCTGAGGAGTTCTTTCTAGATTACTTAAAGTCATGACTCCTCCTGTGGTCCCGAACGAGCCCAGAACTTGTATATGTGAAGCGGCGCCATTTTGTAACTGAGAAACTCCTTGGATAAACTGTCCGGCGGGGGTCACCACGCCGACCGCGCCGCCGATGTTTCCGGGGACGATGGAGGGGAAGGTGACGGGCGGCTGGACTAGACTGGGGGCGGGCTGGGACTCGAGCAGAGCCTCCTGGGCCAGAGTCTGCTCCGTGATGTCCGCCTCCAGGAGAGACTTCTGCAGGATGTCGAAGGGCTGATCGTCGCCCCCCGGAGGAGACGGAGGAGACCCCAGCTCGTCCTCGATAAACGACAGACTCCCCGACAGAGGCTGGAGCGACGAGTCCACGCTGAAGTCCGACACATCTTTAAGACCCGGGTTTGAGACGGGCTGCGCACACACACATCACACTTTTACATTACACTGTTTCTTTAAAGCATCTCTGTAGTTTACTGATACTGTGCAGCGACATCACGCTGGGGGGGTTCTACATGTCGCCTGTGTCTATGGCAGAATTTTCAGCAGTTAGAGATGAACAAATAAGGGTTTTTCATGGTCGATACTGACCGTTTATAATCCAGAGCGATGGACAATAAGCTCTGCTGAGATTTTTGGCCGATGTAAAACCACAGATTCAATTATGTAATTTGTGGAAACTATGTTTTTACAAACGTGTCCATGTTTTACTGTTCTGTTGTTCTGTTTTACTACAAACTGGATAAGACGGCGGTGGAGACACATTTTGTGCACCATCCTCTTCGTGCTCTAATATTTATTATGAAATTCGTTAGCAGAGACAAAATGTCCACCTCTCTTGGAAATTGAGAGTCGATAACCTGCATAAAATTGCAAATATAATAATAAATAATAATAATAATAGAAAAAAATATAAATATATATATTTTTTTAATCACCCAAATTACAGAACTAGTAAAATCTTAAATATAATCAGGTTAACTGTAGGGGTGTGCAAAAATATCGGAATATCGATATATCGTATTGTTTAATGTGATGATACAGTATCGATATCGTGGGCTACTGTATCGATATTTCACCAAGAGTATTTTTAGGTGTGTTTTACTAAATTATTTTGTTACAGCTACAGTTTTGTTGCTTGTGGAGTGAAAGGAAACTCATTTATGCGACACATTTGATATTTTTACTGTTTTGACGATTAAAATGTTTGTGTTTCAGATGAACTTTGCACAAGAAGTAATTTAATAAAGACTTTTAGTATCACAGCCACGATTTTGCCTTTATTTTTTATTGAACCGTATCAAATCGATTTGAAATATATCATATCGAATCGAAAGTGCACTGTATCGAGACATGTATCGTATCGTGGCCTGTGTATCGAGGAATGTATCATATCGGCAACTTCTTAATGATACCAGCCCTAGTTAACTGTGTCTGAGAGAAAAGCGTCATGTGCAGTTAAATTACACAGAATTTCACAAGATTTTTCAAAAAACAATAAATTCTCAGGACAGAAATAAGGATGTAATCAAAAGATGAATATAAAAAGAGAGAAGGGAGAAGTGAAACAAACCGTGTCTGTAGAAAAGAAGGAAGTGTCGGAGCCGTACGCGGCGCTGGTCACATCCTCGTCTCCGATCTCAAACACAAACACACAGAAGAAACACAGAGCAGACTTTTACACGACTCTGGATCAAACACGACGAACTCTGACGTTTAATCCACGTTCTAACCACGTTTCCTCCTCACAAACGGAGCAGGACTTTTGTTTTGTTTCATTCACGTGTTTGAGGAACTTTTATCATTTGTGTGTCATTTGTTCATTCATTTTTCAAAATAAAACAACTTTTTTCTTCATTATTTGTCTCCAGACTGAAAAAACAGATAACGATTTGTTTTTTCAGTTTTGATTTTGTGTTTTAAATGAAAAATGGAAAAAACTAAACCAGGAATAAACCGGTCTCAGTCTCAGTCCCAGTCTCAGTCCTGGTCCTAGTCCTGATCTCGTCCCGGTCTGGTCCCGATCTGGTCCGATCCTGGTCCCAGTCTCAGTCCCAGTCTGGTCCTGGTTCAGTCCGTTGTCCGTTTTTTGTTTGTTTTTTTCCATTTTTCATTTAGACACAAAATCAAAAACTGAAAAAATGAATCGTTTTCTGTTTTTTCATTTTGGTTTTGGAGACAAATAATGAAGAAAACTGTTTTTTTCATTTTCTTATTTTTGGTTTTAATTTGAAAAACAAATGAACGAACGACACACGGATTATTTATTATTCATCTGTGACGTCTCCAAATCTCCAAACGCTCCGGGTTTGTTTGTGACGAGGAAACGACATCAGATAAAAAATGTCACATGAATCTTTGAAGAGCAAAATGAAGCTAGTTTGAGATGTTAATAAAACTCACAGATTTACTGTTGCTGCCGTGGAGATAGTCGTTTAACGCGTCTACATCCCTGTCAAGAAAAACAACAACAAAAACAACGCACATTTAGGAGAAACTTCTCACATTTATGATTTTTCAGGTTTAACTCTCCAGACCCTTGAGCAGTTTTACTACATTTGTCCCCACCTGGATTTTGTTCTTAATTTCGCATTAAAAACTCCTCCTTTTACCCCTAATGAAGTGTTTTTCATCCTTTTTCTCACTATAAAATGTTTTTTTCACAATCTGCTGCTGGAGTCGTGTCATACGGCTGAAATAAAAACTACACGACCAGAAATACACATGAAAAAAAACCAAAAAAGGAAAATTCACACTCTTTTTTTGGGCAAAAAAATGTTTAATTTCGGGCCTTAGCTACAAAAGTGTAAAATATCAAGTCTGTAAATAAACTAAAAATCTCCCTATTGCCAAAAAAAGTGCAGTGTCCCCATGACTTGACTAGTGCAGGTCGTGGAAACAGCTGGAGTCAGGTCCAGGACACAGAGACACATCACTTCTGTATTTCCATGGAGTTTATTACATTTGGATTTGGACATTTGGACTCAAATAAACCTGAAAATAACAAGAGACTTTTCCATTTATGTGAGAAACCTCTGCACTTAGAGCGACTTTTTCACTTGTTCTGAACACAGACGCTCAGAGCATCGACTGGTTTGACTCTTTGGCAAAGTTTGGTCCAATCAAAATGGACGGAGCGCAAGAGTTTGGCCCAAAAGAAAGGTTCCTATTGGACACTCGTTTTCCCGACGTCATCTGAAACAAGTGACGCAGGAGAGTGACGGAAATCTGCTCGGAAAGACACGACTCTCCGCTTTTCAAGGACAAAAAAGGAAGTTCCTATATTTTATGGCTGTAAAGTTCTGCGCGGTTTTATAAAACATGTCGGTCTGGAAATTAAACTACTTTTTGTACATTATTGTTGAGGACCAGAGTTTGGATAAAGACGAGTTCTGAGGTGTTCCGTGACGTCGCCCACAGCGCTCAGCTCCAAATGAAGCTCATCGAGGTCGGCGGTTAGAAGAGAGAATTTAGAGCCAGGTCCATATTAGGAAGAGGAATTTATATTTACGGATAAAATAGTGAAATAAAAACTGAAGGATCATGGTTAAATTGGACGTTTAAGACCAAAATGACGAGTCTGAAAGGAAAGAATTTATCAATGTGAAGTCAACTGGAGCTGAAAAACATTAAGAAGCAGCGTCCAGAGTGACCACCCGGTGATGTCACGAGGTGGAACTGAGCTCTCAAGAGGGAGATGGTAAGAATCCTCAAAGTATCTAACAGGAATTTAAAGTTTAAAGCCGAGGAAAGACGCAGAGAGAGAACGTGTGTCGATTTAACTTGTTTTACCCTAAAATATCCAGCAGCTGGCGATCGTCCTCATCGTCCATGACATCTGAAACACAAAGAGAAAACTTTATGGAAAAGATGTAAAACCAGGAAACATCCAAAGAAAATATGTAAGAATATTATTTTCATGACTTCACATACGACGTCACATGTTTAGATCACTTTTTGTTTTCCTTTTATTGTTTTGAAAATGTTTTAATCACCCAAAACCGCAATTAACATGTTTTATAAATTTCACTTTTGTTTTTGTCGCTGGGAGTTTCCCCTCCCTTTGCTCTCCGTAATAATCCCTCCCCCTTCAGAGCACTATTCCAACACACTCGTTGTGCGTCCCACGAATGAAACTCCTGCTCTAGTTCTGCTCGATTATGGAAAAAACATCATCACGATTATTTTGGTCAATATTGAAATCACGATTATTCAAGCGATTATTTTTAGTTACACGATGCATTTATTCAGCATTTCTTTCTCTCAAAAAAAAACAAAACAACACTTTGTTATTGAGAATTTAGGCAAAACTTCCAAATCTGAATCTTAGAGCAGTTTTGCGATGTACAAAACAAAATGAATAAACTACATTCTGAACATGAAATAAGGCAGAAAAACATAAATGTGTCCAAAATAAACTTTATATCCAGCTCTTCTACAATCTCTATATTTAAAAGATAAAATATACATACTTATTTATATAAAAAATATCCCAAAATGAACTTTGTTAAACTCGTTTCAACTCGATTATATAAGTTTGTTGATCGTTTGACACACAAATCATAATTAGATCAAAATTATTTTCATTCCACAGCCTGATCCTGCACATCAGGTTTGTCCACTCGCTGTGTTCAGTTTTGTGTCGTGTTTTTGTGTATTTATGTTGAATTGTCGAGTGGAGCATGGGAGGGGGGGGCGTGGGCCTGTGGGCGGAGCCTCGTACAGGCTCGTACTGTTAACCATAAGGAGGGTTGGAGCTGGTTTTTCATCATATCAGCTCTTTAAAAGAATTTAAAGCCTAAAAGAAGTGAAGAAGTCCAGGTGTGTTTTGTGTATTTGTTAGTTATTTCAGCAGATTATGTCATTGTATTTTACCATGAAAGTCCAAAAGATAAATTCACAAATGTTGAACCTGATCATTTCTGTGACGATCGACGGCTCCGTCTGTGGTAAATACGACTTATTGGTCTGGAGAATGAAACCCAGCAGCAGCCCCAGTGTGTGCGTCTGAAAAACTATTATTCCAGGTAGAGCCCGACCGATATGGATTTTGTTGTGGCCGATATGATACCGATATAATGTGATAATCTTGAATTATTTAAAAAAAACTTTGGTTTGGCTCTGGTGGATTTTAAACTGGGTTTATTTAGGCAACATTTATTGTTATTCTGCCTCTTTACATGATATGTCATAGGACTATGCTTTAGTCCTATGACATATCATGGACTAAGGCAGGACTAAAGCAGGACTAAACCAGAACTGAATCAGGACTGAAAAAGGGATAACCAGGACTAAAACAGATCTAAACCATGTGTAAAACAGGACTAAACCAGAACTGAACCAGGATTGAGTGTCGGGACTCGGTCTCTATCTCTCTCCCTCTCTCGATCCCAAGATTAGTCCTGGTTTATTTATTTTATGCTGAATAAATATATATAATATATCGATAATATCGGCCAACCGATATATCGGCCGGGCTCTAATTCCAGGTCTGAATTAAGACAAAACCATGTGTAAAAGATAATAAACTTCACTGCAGTCGGTGTAACCAAGAACTGACCACAGCAGGACAATAATGTGAATCAAACGCACACACATGAACCAGCAGACGAGTAGAAAAGCCCGAGGGAGCGAGCGTCCCGTAACACGACCACACCTCTGATCACATGACTCCTGACTTCAGATTACAAGGATCAAGTTACTGATGGTTAATGGTCGACGCTGAAACACTGTGAAGAACTGATGCTCCTGAAAACTAAGACTATTTATTTAATTTAAACAAACGAAATAGACCCCTGTGAACTTTAAACCGTGTTATAATGTTGTTCCCTCTTCACAAACAGACCTGCAGTTGTGTTTTGTTTACTTCATGTTTGAGTAACTGTTTCAGGGTTTTCACGGTCATGGAAATCCTGGAAAAGTCATGGAAATTTAGTGCCTCTTTCCCGCAACTCAAGTGTTCTGTTAAGTTCTCGTTAGACTATTCCGATTATTTCTGATCTGAATTCTGAATTTTGTTTAAAAGAGACGACAATAAATGCACTGACAGGATTTTAAATGTTCAAAAACTATAATCCCAAACCATAAAGTGAGTGAAATGCAGGGATGTAACAATAACTGAAATATCGTGAAATTGTAGCGTCAAAGTTCTCACAATAATATCATGGACCATCACAATATATCAAATCAAAAGTCTTTTTGTTTAAATGAAGAGTTATGGAGCAGCAAAAGCTAAAAAAAAAAAAAAAAAAACACAGAGGAACTACATAGACCATGATCCTTTGCTCCATTTCAGTGCAGACGACAAGAATAAATAACAGTTCGAACACTTTTAACTCTGAGTTCTTTGGATTGAATCTTGTCAAGACATTTTAAGAGGAAAAAGAAGCATATTAACAGTTTTGTTTTTCACAATATCGCAATAAATATCGTACGGTGAGGTTCATACTGTGACGATATTGTATCACGAGACTTGGACATCGTTACACCCCAATTGGAAAAGGATAATATTTCAGATTTAGCCCTAAAAGTCTGATGAGTTCTACACATGGAGGAGCCGTAAAGTCATGGAAAATTCACTCTGGCTCACGAAAAAGTCACGGAACAGTTTTGAAATTTTGTCAGTAAAATTGTGTCTGTTTACATCTGCAAAGCTCCAAACGCTCTGTTCCAATTTGTGATGTCACGAAGCGTTCAAGTGTTTACAAGTGAACATCTCCTTTTTTTTTTTTTTTTTTTCCCCTTTAGTTCAGTCGAGGTTGGAAATTCCAAGACTCAAATGATCCAAATGATTCAAGTGAAGGTGACATAATAAGTTGGAACAGCGTTTGTGGGAAAAACGCCGCTTAAATATGCAGGATTTTTGTGTGAATGAAACAAAAAAACAACAACTCCAGGTGTATTTTTGTTAAAGGAAACAACATTTTGCACAGATCAGGAGAGTAATACGAGCTCTTTAAAATAAGTAAACTTGAAAATATCCCGTCTAAATTGCAGGTTTTGAGTTTTAAAATGTCTCAGAGCTGCTCAAGGTTAAATGCAGGATGGGCCTCTTCCTTCTGCAGGCAAACCCCCACCCATCCACTACCGCTCATGTGACAAGTCCGGCATTGTGGGCCTATATAAAGAATGAAAGGAACATTTTTTCTTTTTTTTTTGGAAATGTCTAACATCAATTTAAATAATAATAAATGAGTTTTGTTTGTTTTTTGTCATTTTAAACACACGCTAATTGCTTTGTGTTGCTGCGAGCGCAAATACAACAGAAAAACACATTTTAACTCAACAATTACAGATTTAAGCAACAGATTTGGGTGATTTTGTGATTTGCGTCTGTGTTTTCCTTGTTATAAAGATAAGATTAGACTGTCGGCGTGCATAGGCCTGACATCTGCAGTGACTTTCTGGTGACTGCATGCATTATTCTCGAGAGTTTATTGAGTAATGTGAGGAAACGTGGGAGGAAAAGCTTTGTATTCCTGACAGTGCAGCTTCTTTTACAACTGCACTGCTTCAAAATGGAGGTAGAGGCCACATGAGCTCTGCGTGTGTCCTGCCTCCATGTTTGCCTCAGTCAGAACAAAGAGGACACAAAAAGGACAGGGACTGCAGCCTCTCTGTCGCTTTTACACACATTTATGTTGATTTTTACGAGTTTAAATGCCAAAAACAAGCCTTAATCTTGCTGGATTTTGAGATTTAAACATTTCCAGTGGTGTGTTGGTGGATATACAATGGTGTTTGTGGTTAAACATGCAGCAAATACGACTTAAAATGTCATTAAAAGTGCTTATTTTGTAAAAAAACAAAAAGCCATTTAATAAAAAATTGTTAGTGCTCTGTCTTTTTTAACGCTTTCTGACGACGTCGAATGGAGATGGCTCATGTTAAAACTGAAATTAAAGACAAAATAACGATGATTTTTTAAGGTGTTTTGAAATAAGTCGTAAGAAAATATAGTCCGGTGACAATTAACTAGTCGAAAAATCGTAGAAAATGTGAAAATAGCTTTTATTTTTGGCGTTTTTGAGCGTTTCCGACTCGACTTAGCATTACCGCTTTGAAAAAAACGCAGGCTAATTTCGGTTTTATGTCAATATTTTATCAAATTTTAACACTATTTGAGATTAAAACACGAAAAACGAGCAGGTTTTGAGGTATATTTCCAAAAAATAGCCCGATTGTGAAGCTGTGGAGAGAATTTGTAGACAAAAAAAAATGAAAAACATTCTTCGGTTCGTGTGTCGGTGATGGCGCCTGGACTGAAATGGAAGCTTCTCGAATGTTTTTCCTGTTGACGGCTCGAAAAACGCTCATGTTTGTCTCGTTTTGTCCGACCACCGCGTTTCTTTACGGGGGAGGATTTGTACCCGCAGCCCGGTTTCGGCTCCGGGGACTCGGGCTTCCGAACCCCGCACCGCTCGGGGCCTGGTCGGGTTTAGCCGCGGTAGCTCCGCCGTCGCCACCGCCGCCATCACCGCCCGGGCTGCCGCTGCTGTCGTCGACTACGCCTCGGGAGGATTTCTACGGGAAACCGCGACGGAAAGAGCCGCAGCTATAAATATTTATCCGGATTAGCATAACATAAAGCCGGGCGAACGAGGCAAACCCGGGCGTCCTGTCTCTCTGCGCCTGTAACCCAATATCTGCTGCATTTGGCAACTTTTAATTCGCTCCCCCTCCTCCCGTGCATAACCTACTCCTCCTTCCCTCTCCCTCTCCCACTCAGATGGCTTTTTCTCGCCGCTCCTGCTCAGTCTCGGGTAGATTTTGCTCTCCTTCCCTCCCTGAAGGAATGGAAGGGAAGGGAGGCAGGAGCGCCGTGTGTTTTTTCCGTGAAATTTTTATCACTAAATTAGAATTCACTGGAAGCGAACTCACCGTCTGAAAAAGCACTGCCGCGTCCACGGGGTTTCCCAGCCATCAGCGCACGGGCTGGCGGGGGAGCGCAGCCCAAATGCTCCGTGGACACTCCAAATGCGTAAAAGTGCACCAAAACACACACGGACACGCCACAAAGCACTTTTATTCACACATTTCACTGTATTTTTATTTTGTTTATTTTTAGCAGCCATGTCGGATGGGAAGTTTAGCTTATGTCATGTTATTTCATCACGAGCAGCAGAGGGCGGGACTCCACTTTTGGCCACACCTCACACTTCAGGTATGAACATGGATTTAGGCTGTTGCACATATTCTATTTCACTTATATCGACGGTGACCAGAGTTTTCAAATTCTAAACTGGATTTAGACCTGATGTAGTCCTGGTTTAGACCTGGTTTAGCTCAGATTGGTCAAAAATAAAGACATCTGGGACATTTCTTGTATAAAACTGAGACAAATCCCAGTGATTTTTTTGGATAAATCTGCTGGGACGGGGGACACAGGGCTCAAAACTGTAACGGTCCCGAATAGGGATGTCTGGTCACCCTGCTGATATCAGATGTCACTGTCTATGGGAGAGTGCAGTGAGATTCAAAATAGTCAAATGTGCCGTCATGTACACAGGGAGAACACAGATTAAACTCTGCAAAGACAATTTTGCTGCCTTCCCTTAGTAAAGTTCATTAAAATAAAAGTAAATGACATCACATCAGGCCAATAATACTGGGGTTTGTGGACACTCCAAATGCATAAAAGTGCATGAAAACACACACAAACACATCACAGATTATTTTGTTTATTTGTAGAAGCGGTGCCGGACAGGAAGTTAAGGAGGGCGGGTCGTCTGCTGCTGCTGATGAACGAGGTTTGGCCAAAAGTGTTGGTATGAAAATGGATTTAGGCCGTTGCAGTTTTTATATTTCACTTATATCAGATGTCAAAATGACAAATACACAAACTCCTTCCCGTGAGGCAGCAGCTCCTGAGTCTGACTCTTCGTCTCTGAGCTGAAGTTTAAGGTTTTGTCGCTTATTTTAATCACCAGCTGCAGATCGGGTCTGAAATAATTAAGGTATCATTTATTTTAGTCTAATTAGTCTAATAATTATTATTGTTCAGGCCTAGTGACTCCAGTGCACGTGTGTTTATGTGTTTGGACAAAAAGAAGAGAACAATAGATGTAATTATTTTATGGTAATAATAACAACAAATATTCTAAAAAATGCACTTTTCCAAAATAATGCTTCAGTAATAAGAAGCTGTTGTTGAGGTCGATACCAGATTAAATCAATGTTTCCTAAAACTCACAAATGCAGTGTTTTTGTATCAGATCATTTTATTTATGACCTTTGATTATTATTTAAACTAAATATTTTTACACTTAAATGCAGAGGCGGGACTTACACGTCGTGACTTAGACTCGAGTCAGACTTGAGTCACTATTTTTAGGATGTGGGACTTGACTTGGACTTGAGGCCTGTGACTTGACAAGACTTGATACTTCTCCTAAAAAATAGATGTTTTTAGAAGAGACTTTTCTCTTTACACTTGATAAATGTGGAGGTCAGTTTTACAGAAACAAACTGGAACATGTCGCTCACATTTCTGTTATTTTGGATGAAAACTGAAGTACTGTGATACTCAAAAGTACTACAGTAATATACAGTACAGTACAGTAGAACAGAGGGAACTACAGAGAATGATCCTTCATGACAAAATAACTGTTATTAAGCTATTTTAAATCTGAATTCTTTTTTATTCTGAGCGTCATGATTCACACTCAGATCTTGTCAAGACATTTAAAAAGGTAAAAATGAGCACTTCTACAACTATAAACACTCAGATATAAATACACCATGACCTTTTAAAGAACAATTTAGTTTAAAATTCACATAAATTGCAAAAATCTAAACAATATTTGGTGCTTTGGTTTAAAGATTTGAAATGACTTGAAGCTCAAAGCAGACGACTTGGACTCGACTTGGACTTGTCTGTATTTGACTCGGGACTTGACTCGGACTTGAGGTCAAAGACTTGAGACTTGCAAAACAACGACTTGGTCCAACCTCTGACTAAATGTGGGAATTGTGACTCCGTAGAAATAATAACAAAGACATGAACATGAACAAACAGAAACGATTCTAACGAGCTACAACAGAATAAAACAGAATAAAACAGAACAGTGATGGACTCTTGTTGTGAAGGAGTTTGTGCAGATGTTTCCTTCCTGCTCCTGTCGCTGTAGAATCAACTCAGCCCGTGTCGTTCACCTGTGCAGAGGAACTGAAACGTGTAAAAATGAAACAGAACATGAAGCAGCTTCTGTTGAACAAACTCAGGTCACTTTGCTGCTGTTTGTCCTGTTCCTCTGTCGCTCTGTTCAGAGTTTATCTGTCGTTTTCAGATTCTCAGATGTGACGGTGTCAGACTCAGCCGAGACAAGAGACACTTTTACAGTTTTCCTCTATTTTTTTATTTTACTTACAGCATTTTGTGATTACAGATTTTTTTTTAAAAATCTGGATTATTAACAGAAATATTCATTAACATGCACCATCCCTGAGTGTCTGTTTCTGTTCTCTGCTGTTCCGAGACTTAATTCTCTTCATATTCAAACCCTCTGGTGAGTTTTGAGGAGCTGCTGTATCTGTTTTCGTGTTGTCGTGTTGCAGTTGTGTGTCATTTTTTATGCGTTCACTCGTTGTGTTGCATTTATTTGTGAAAACTGCTGACTGTGGAAATAAACTTTGATTTCTTGCTCAAACAAATCCAAGTTTCTGACTTTCTTAGACTCAGACAAACTTTATTGATCCACGGGGAAATGATTCAGACACAGAAGTCACACAGAAACAATAGAACAGAATAGAATCTTTTATTGTCATTATACAGTGTAATGAGATTCAGGGCTGCTCCATCAAAGTGCAAAAAACAAACAAACAAAAAAACCTAACTAATATAATAACACAGTAAAAATATAAATGGTGATAATAAATTCTAAATAAGACAGGAGTGAAATAAGACATAATTATATAAATGTAAATGTCCAAGTTAAAGTAAAACAGAAAAATAAGTCATAAAATCTCAGCTTTATAAACAAAACAACGATGATCTGATGACTGACAGGACACAGTGTGATTGGTTTTGTCGGTTACATCAACAATTTTGTTTGGGCTTTACACAAATAAACTGAATTGAAAATGGAAATAATGAAATAAAATCAACTGAAGCGTCCGTGTGTCATTTGTTCTTTTGAATGTCAGTTAAGAATGAAAAACATTAAAATAAAACAAAATAAATAAATAAAAATAAAAAACAGATTTCTATGTCTATTTCCAATATCTAATTTAAGGTTTATTTCAAATAACACCAATTAAAAAAAAAAAAAACAGTCTTGGTGCCTGTTTTAATTTTAATATTTTATTCTCTCTGTTTTATTTGCCCTGGAAGTTCTGCTGGTAGAAGAGAATAAAATATCAAAATTAAAATAAGCACTGAGACTGTTTCTATTATTATCATTATCATTATAATTATTTATTTATTTATTTTGTGTTATTTGAAATAAGCCTTAAATTAAATAATGGAAATAGAGGTCGGATCAGTTTTTTTTTTTTTTTTTTTTTTTTTTGTAATATATTGTTGTTGTTGTTATTAATTTATTTATTTTTGTGTGTGTTATTTGAAATAAACTTTAAATAAAATATTGGAAATAGAGGTCGGATCAGTTTTTTTTTTTAAACACTAAAACGGAATAATAAAATAACAAACTTTTCGTTTTTCATTCTTAATTGAAATTCAAAAGAACAAATGGTGCACGGACCCAAAGCCCCAGAATTAAATAATAAAATAAAATAAAATAAAGCTTGATTCATTTGGCGTTTATTTACAGTGAGAGCGGAAGTCCAGCAGGCGTCACTTCCTGTCCCGTTGACAACATGGCGGCTGTGGAGAAGCATGAGACCGAAGCTCTCAGCGAAAACAACGCGTCAACAGTCCAAGAGCGGCTCACGAAGCGGCACCAGACGCGGCAGGAGGACGCGGAGAGGCGCAGGGAGGAGAACGAGAGCCACAAACTCGCGGAGGAGAAAGCGGATTACTTTAACAGCGAGTTTAAGAGAGAAAGAGCGGAGGTTTCGGAGCTTGTGCGGCGCGTCGGTCCCGCAGCGAACAGAGCCGAGGCCGAGCAGCTTCTGGAGCGAGCCGCCGCCAAAACCGCGCAGCTGCAGAAGTTTCTCAACGACAGCATGTTGTTTCTGACCCAGTACGACCTGAGGCAATCGCAGGAGGCTTTACGGAGCCTCCAGAGCGCGCTGAACGACGCCAGGGACGAGGCCATGCCCAAGAAGAAGTTCACGTTCCGAGCGCGCAGCAAAGCCACGGAGAAAAGCGAGAAAACACCGACGGAGACTCCAACCCAAGACACGACAACGACAGACGGAGGCGGCACCGAAACGGACACGGAACAATGCGGGTTTTCGAATTTAAGCGACGCGAATCTCACCAAAACCGCGGAGGAGATCGAAAAACGAGACGTTCTCCTGACCGGGCTCAAAAACTGTAAAGTGAAGCTGTTGGGTTCGTGCGCGACGCTGCACCTGAAGCACATCGAGTCGTGCGAGATCCTGTGCGGGCCCGTGTCCGGCTCGGTGTTCGTGGATCAGTGCCGGGACAGCGTGTTGGCGTTGGCGTGTCAGCAGCTGCGGACGCACAACACCAGCTCCACGCGGGTTTACCTCCACGTGACGAGCCGCGCCATCGTGGAGGACTGCGCCGGCGTCGGCTTCGCCCCCTTCGCCTGGTCCTACCCCGGACTCGAGCGGGACTTCCTCGTGTCCGGGCTGGACCCGAGCCGGAACAACTGGAACCTCGTGGACGATTTTAACTGGCTGGTCCCGGGAACGCAGTCGCCCAACTGGAGCGTGATCCCCGAGGACCAGAGGAGGGACACCTGGGACTGAACCAGGACTGAACCGGGACTAAAACTAGGACTAAAACCAGGACTAAAACCAGGACTAAAACCAGGACTAAAACCAGGACTAAAACCAGGACTAAACCAAGACTAAACCAGGACTGAACCAGTACTAAACCAGTACTAAACCAAGACTAAACCAGGACTAAAACCAGGACTGAACCGGGACTAAAACTAGGACTAAAACTAGGACTAAAACCAGGACTAAACCAGGACTAAACCAGGACTAAAACCAGGACTAAAACCAGGACTAAAACCAGGACTGAACCACTAAACCAGGACTGAACCGGGACTAAAAGACTAAAACCAGGACTAAAACCAGGACTAAAACCAGGACTAAAACTAAAACAGGACTAAAAGACTAAACCAGAAACCAGGACTAAAACCAGGACTAAACACTAAACCAGGACTAAAACCAGAACTAAAACTAAAACCAGGACTAAAACTAGGACTAAACCAGGACTAAAAGGACTAAAACTAGGGACTAAAACCAGACTAAGACTAAAACCTAAACCAGACTAAACCAGACTAAACTAAAACCAGGACTAACCGGGACTAAAACTAGGACTAAAACTAGGACTAAAACCAGGACTAAAACTAGGACTAAAACCAGGACTAAAACCAGGACTAAACCAGGACTAAAACCAGGACTGAACCGGGACTAAAACCAGGACTGAACCGGGACTAAATCTAGGACTAAAACCAGGACTAAAACCAGGACTAAAACCAGGACTAAAACAGGACTAAAACCAGGACTAAAACCAGGACTGAACCGGGACTAAACCAGGACTAAAACCAGGACTAAAACCAGGACTAAAACTGGAGTGTGATCCCCGAGGACCAGAGGAGGGACACCTGGGACTAAACCAGGACTAAAACAGGACTAAAACCAGGACTTAAACTGGGTCTAAATCTAGGACTAAACCGGGACTAAAACAGAACTAAAACCAGGACTAAAACCAGGACTAAACTAAGACTAAAACAGGACTAAACTAAGACTAAACCAGGACTAAAACTGGAGCATGATCCCCGAGGACCAGAAACTAGGACTAAACCAGAACTGAACCAGGTCTAAACCAGGTCTGCTGATGATGTTAAAGATTAAAGTTCTATATCTTTGTTCTGTCACATTCATAAATTTATCGACTTGAACAAAACAAAACTGGGACTTGTGTTTTTGGGGCTCAGTGTTTCTGCTTCATTTCTTGGTGTTTTGGTGTTTTTGTTTTAATACAGCGACATTTGAGCTGTAAAAGTTTAAATAAGTGACTTCTGTGATTATTTATGAATTCATTTTGCGTTTTATTTGTTGGAGCTCAAGGTTTTTAAATTAAAATTTGATTTACTGGGATTATTTTACATTAGACTCAGACAAACTTTATTGATCCACAAGGAAATGATTCAGACACAAACGCTCACACTTCACAAAATAACAGAATAACAAAGAGAAAAAATATAAATGTGCCAAGAGAGAAACAATAATCACACACAAACTACACGTGCACTGGAAAACAACAGAAAAACACATTTCTCCAAAAGCAGCAGGAAGAAAAAAACTCATATGAACCCAAAACTGTTCGAGTTTCAAACCTGATGTGTTTTCTTCTGAACACTGATCACTAAACTTTACAAATATTTACAAAGAGCAAAATAAATCTCACACGGTTCATACTGAATGTCATTTTAATCCAATTTCTTATTTATTTTTTTTATTATATTGTCTTTATTTTTTACTGTTATTAATTTATTTGTAGACTTTCCTAATTGAATTATTTATTAATTTGTATTATATTTTCTCTATAATGATTTATGTTTTATTGTTGTGTTTAACACGACTCCATCTGAGAATCTTGTATTTACTAAATAATTTCTTGCAACTGTTAAAAATAGTCGCTTGAATTTTCATGTTGAAAAATGAACTCACCAAAGGAAAAAGTCTGGAGACACATGAGCCTGTAGCAAAGACTTTTGAAAATATATTCAAGGAATTAACTTATGCCTGAAGTTATAATCTGTGAACTAATAAACTTTAATAATAATGATAAAATGTGAGGGTGCGTGAGGAGGTCCTTCAGGTCCTGGGGGGAGTGACCGTGGAGGCTCTGGTGAGTGAGGAGGGAGACCTTGTGCTCAATTTCAGGATGGGGGTGATATGGTCAGATTTTCGCCCCGTCATCACGATCCTGGCAGCGCAGTTCTGGACGTCCTGCAGTCTCTGGATGCTCCTGCCTGGGATCCCGATGAGGAGTGCGTTCCAGTCGTCCAGCCTGGAGGAGATAAAGATGTGGACGAGCTTCTCTGCATCTGCCAGGGACAGAGCTGGACGGAGTTTTGCAATGTTCCTTTGCCACAAAAATAATTGAAGAACATTGAGCTCTGACTTGATGCCTGTGAATCTGACGTCATTCAAACAACAAATAATAAACTTAAAAATAAACTTAAAAAAAGGCGGCAGTAGTTCAGTTGGTGGAGCATTCGCCCACTGATCTGAAGGTTGGTGGTTCGAATCCAGCTCTCAACATAAAAAAAAACATCACAGGTTGAGCGTCAGATCCACTGACCCACAGGTTGCTGGTGTGATTCCAGCTCCCACAGATGAATGCTGTTGTTGTGTCCTTGGGCAAGACACAACCCACCTTGCCCACAGTGTCTGTGTACACTGGTGTGTGAATGGGTGTGTGAATGGGTGAGTGGTTCCTTGTTGTAAAGCGCTTTGAGTGTCTTGAAGGTGGAAAAGCTATAGAAAAATGTGACCATTTACCAATAAACTTTGCACATTAAACATTTATGTTGTGATATTTTTGTCTTTACAGTTTAAAACCTGCGTAAAGTCGCTCCATCAAACACAAACCTGCTGTAAAAGTTTAGTTTGTGTTGCTTAGGTTTGGAGATATTAATGATTTTTTTACAGGTCAAACTGGGGTCACAGCTCCAGGAAACTACAAAATGAAATAAAACAACACAAAATGGAGTCAGTCGTTTGTGTTGTTTTGTGTGTGACTGTTTTCATTTGTGTGAGTTTATTTCTAAAATTATTAAATTTTAATTTTCCATTCAGCTGACGACAGCGACTTTAACAAAACTCCACAAAACCCGAAGAGAAACGACCTGAGTCTGTGGAAAAGTCTGTGTTATTATAGAAAATATGAATCAAAAGTGAGTTACTACAGACTGACCCTTGTTCTGACGCTGCTCCACATCATTCTAAACACATTCAGGAAACGTTCTGCTCTGTGAGAAAAATGGGATTTTTTAAGGATCCAGACGTGAGAAAAATGAGGATCTCGTTCTAATTTTACTTTTAGCATTAATTAGGATCTGATTTTTATACTTGTGATTAACTCTGTGCAATTAACTGAATTTTTATCATAATTTCTGTGTCAAGTGTCAAACTCAGATAATCCAGTTGAAATTATCTAAGGTTAAAGTTTATTTTGGATATTTTTTTATATATAAATAAGTTTGTTTATTTTATGTTTTAAATCTAGAGATTGTAGAAGAGCTGGATATATACTGTCGTCTATTTTGGAGATTTTCTTGTATTATTTATCTTATTTATCTTTATATATGTTTATTTCTGTCTTATTTCATGTTCAAAGTTTATTTTATTCATTTTATGTTTTATATGTCACAAAACTGATCTGAGGTTCAGATTTGTAGCAGATATTTTCAATTTGAAAGTTTTTCTTAAATTAGCAATAACAAATAGATTTTTTTAAAGAGAAGTGCAGAATAAATGCATCATGTAACTAAAAAATAATCGTGATTTCAATATTGATCAAAATAATCGTGATAAACAGAACTTTTTTCCATAATGGAGCAGCTCGTCGTGTGAAAGTCTCACAGTTAAAGTTCTGTTTTCAGTCTCTGAGGTGAAACTGTGAGTTTGGCTCCAGAGTAAATCGCTTTTCTCTTTTCTGTCTCTTCTCTTTTCTTTTTTTATCATAAACTTGTTCAAACGTGTCGTGTCGTTTGTCCCGAGCTCCTGAACAGCCCAGAACCTGTTCACAATCTCTACATTAATGTTCTGTCTGTCACGATTTATTCTGAAAACAGATGTTCATATCATTATGTTTGAATGTTTTTGCACTTTCAGTTATGGATTAGTGAAATGTTTAGATCTTAAGTTTCTCAAACTGTGGACCTGATCACAGAATAAAAACATTTTGCACTGAACTGAACTGTTCACAAGAATCACATGAAGTTTACTCGTATTTCTGTCAGTGTCAAGTGAAAAACACGACCGGACAAACGTTTGGACACTGCCTCATTTAAAAAATAATAATCATAATTTCACTTTCTACATTTTAAACACACACATGTCATCAAATATATGTAAGAAATTTGGAATTAAAAAAGTACATATATGATACATTTAGTAGATATTTTACTTTTTTGTGTTCTGTAGTTTGTAGTTTTTGTGTTTTTTGTATTTTGTAGTTTTTGTGGTTTATAGTTTTTGTGGTCTGTAGTTTTTGTAATTTGTAGTTTTTGTAGTTTTTTTTGTGTTTTGTAGTTTTTGTGGTTTATTGTTTTCTGTAGTTTGTAGTTTTTGTGTTTTGTACTTTTTGTGTTTTGTAGTTTTTGTGTTTTGTAATTTTTGTAGTTTTTGTGTTTTGTAGTTTTTTGTAGTTTTGTAGTTTTTGTTGTTTTTTGTAGTTTGTAGATTTTGTATTTTGTAGTTTTTGTGTTTAATATTTTTTGTAGTTTGTGTGTTTTGTAGTTTTTGTAGTTTGTAGATTTTGTGTTTTGTAGTTTTTGTGGTTTATAGTTTTTGTAGTTTGTGTGTTTTGTAGGTTTTTGTAGTTTTTGTAGTTTGTAGATTTTGTGTTTTGTAGTTTTTGTGGTTTATAGTTTTTGTAGTTTGTGTTTTGTAGTTTTTTGTGTTTTGTAGTTTTTTGTGTTTTGTAGTTTGTAGATTTTGTGTTTTGTAGTTTTTGTGGTTTATAGTTTTTGTAGTTTGTGTGTTTTGTAGTTTTTTGTAGTTTTTGTAGTTTGTAGATTTTGTGTTTTGTAGTTTTTGTGGTTTATAGTTTTTGTAGTTTGTGTGTTTTGTAGTTTTTTGTAGTTTTTGTAGTTTGTAGATTTTGGGTTTTGTAGTTTTTGTGTTTAATATTTTTTGTAGTTTGTCTGTTTTGTAGTGTCAGGTTTAAGACAAGAGATTAATATCGTTTTCTCATGAGGAGGGTGGACAGAGGTGCATTTACTGTTACATCTCTACCCGCTCTGATGCACTGTCTGCGTCTCCTCTTTTTATTGTCATAAGATGGTCCCTAGTTACACTGAATGTTTCTCTAAAGGGGAGGGGTTGAAAACAGCAAATAAGCAGTAGAAACACCAGACATGATTTCATCGTGCAAATATGTATATCAGCAGCATGTGGCCGATAAGGTGCAGCATCTTTGTAGCATCTTTAGGAACAGTGCTTCCCCTCCTTCCCACCAACCTTGAGAACTGTCCTCTTTCCAAGCAAAGAGCTGAATAAGTGTTGTTTTGGCGGTGTGCAGAGCGGGTGACAGGTCACTGCACAGTTATTAAGCACAAAACATTATTCACACAAAAACAATACATAGAAAATATGGGATAACATATACAATTATTCTAAATGTAGATTTTGTGTTTTGTAGTTTTCGTGTTTAATATTTTTTGTAGTTTTTGTGTTTTGTAGTTTTTTGTAGGTTGTGTGTTTTGTAGTTTGTGTGTTTTGTAGTTTTTGTGTTTTTGTAGTTTGTCTGTTTTTTGTTTTGTTTTTGTAGTTTTTGTGTTTTTGTAGTTTGTCTGTTTTTTTGTTTGTTTTGTTTTTGTAGTTTCTTGTGTTTAATAGTTTTTGTGTTTTTGTAGTTTGTCTCTTTTTTGTTTTGTTTTTGTAGTTTTTGTGTGTTTTGTAGTTTGTCTGTTTTTTTGTTTGTTTTTGTAGTTTTTGTGTTTTTGTAGTTTGTCTGTTTTTTTGTTTGTTTTGTTTTTGTAGTTTCTTGTGTTTAATAGTTTTTGTGTTTTTGTAGTTTGTCTGTTTTTTTGTTTTGTTTTGTTTTTGTAGTTTTTGTGTTTTTGTAGTTTGTCTGTTTTTTTTCTTTTGTTTTTGTAGTTTTTGTGTTTTGTAGTTTTTGTGTGTTTTGTAGTTTGTCTGTTTTTTTGTTTGTTTTTGTAGTTTTTGTGTTTTTGTAGTTTGTCTGTTTTTTTGTTTGTTTTGTTTTTGTAGTTTCTTGTGTTTTTGTAGTTTGTCTGTTTTTTTGTTTTTGTAGTTTTTGTGTTTTTGTAGTTTGTCTGTTTTTTTTTTCTTTTGTTTTTGTAGTTTTTGTGTTTTTGTAGTTTGTCTGTTTTTTTGTTTGTTTTGTTTTGTAGTTTCTTTGTGTTTAATAGTTTTTGTGTTTTTGTAGTTTGTCTGTTTTTTGTTTTGTTTTGTTTTTGTAGTTTCTTGTGTTATTGTAGTTTGTCTGTTTTTTTTTTGTAGTTTGTTTTTGTAGTTTCTTGTGTAGTTGTTTGGTTTGCGTGCGACCTGTGAGTGCTCCGCTGAATCGCCCGCCGAGGTCACGCTAACGAAGGCTAACCCGAAGCTAACTGACGCTCGCGCGCTCACCTCGGTCTGAACTCTGCTCCTGCCGACGCTAAAACTGCCCGTCTGCTTTCGCTCCATGATCTCTTTACGTCCTCCGCCGACCCGCGTGACCCGAGCGCCAACCCGCGTGACCCGAGCCGCCCAATCAGCGCCCACCCGCCGGCTTACCCGTCCTCTGCCAAACCGATTTAAGCTAATTGGCTGTAGCTACTTACCGGAGATTAGCGTGACGTGTTCTGACTTCTGCTCTAATCGTTCGGATCCTACGCAATCCTCCTGCGCTCGGGACGGACAACAGCTCCTCGGACTCACGGGAAAATCAACAAATATTCGGTTTTCGCAAAATGGAAGACGATTTACGGCAGAAGTTTTGATTGGGATGGATTACGAGCGCCGCTAGCTTCGGATCTGACGTTTTTTCGAAGCTCTTAAGGGCAACTCGAAGCCCTAAATCTTTAACTTAACATTTTTATTTTTAATTGTAAACAAAGGAGGATTTAAATTACTGAAGATGGCGTTGATGACGGTGAAGTTCGACCTGAAGAAGCGCGTGAAGCTGGCGCAGACGGTCTGGTTCATGTACTGGTTCGCGGTGATGGCGGGAATCCTGGTGTTCAGCATGGGGCTCTTCTTCAAAATCGAGCTGCGAAAACGTTCCGAGCTCATGGACAACAACGAGAGCCACTTCCTGCCCAACCTGCTGATCTTCATGGGGCTGGTGATCTGCTGCATCAACGCTCTGGGCGGGAAGATCTGCTACGACTCGCTCGACCCGTCCAAGTTCGTGAAATGGAAGCCGGTGCTGAACGGTTTCCTGACGGCGTGCATGGTCTTCAACGCGCTGCTGCTCCTGACGGCGTTCCTGTGCTTCCTGATGAGGATCCCGCTGCAGTTCACGCTGGCCGAGGGTCTGAGGAGCGGGATGAGGTTCTACAAAGACACGGACACGCCCGGACGCTGCTACATGAAGAGGACCATCGACCTGATGCAGATGGAGTTCAGATGCTGCGGCACCGACAGCTTCAGGGACTGGTTCGAGATCCAGTGGGTCAGCAACCGGTACCTGGACTTCAGCGCCAAGGAAGTCCGAGAGTGAGTACGGACGGGAACCGGGACTGGACCAGGACGGAACCAGGACTAAACTAGAACTAAACCAGAACTGAACCAGGACTGAAGCAGGACTAAATTAGGACTAACATAGATTAAACCAGTACTGAACTAGAACTAAACCAGGACTGAACCCAGACTAAACCAGGACTGAACCAGGACTAAACCAGGACTAAACTAGAACTGAACCAGAACTGAACCAGGACTAAACCAGAAGTGAACCAGGACTGAACCAGGACTAAACCAGGACTAAATTAGAACTAAACAAGGACTGAACCAGGACTAAACCAGGACTAAACCAGGACTGAACCAGGACTAAACTAGAACTAAACCAGAACTGAACTAGGACTAAATCAGGACTAAATTAGAACTAAACAAGGACTGAACCAGAACTAAAACAAGACAAAAACAGGGTCTAAACCAGGACTAAACTAGAACTAAACCAGGACTAAACCAGGACTAAAACAGGACTAAATCTTTTGTTTTTTTCTCGTGACAGAAGAATTTGAATTTTGTGTCAGTTTTTGTTTCGTGTGGAGAGTTTCAGGAATCACAGACACATGAGCCATAAACCAGGTCACACATCTGCACCTGCCACTCTCACCTGTCTCACCTGTCTCACCTGTCTCACCTGTCTCACCTGTCTCACCTGTCTCACCTGTCTCACCTGTCTCACCTGTCTCACCTGTCTCACCTGTCGCACCTGTCTCACCTGTCTCACCTGTCTCACTTGTCTCACCTGTCTCACCTGTCTCAGCTCAGGTTAAACTGGTGTGACTCTGGAATGATTTTCTTGTGACTCTGTATTTGCTGTTTTCTGTCCGTTTGATCAGTTTTTTTCAGTCTTTGACAAAATGCTGGTGTAAAGTCTGAGCTCAGGGTTCAATTCAAATCTTTTTAAAACCATTTATATAAAAACTTCACGTATTTCATGTCCGGTTTCACACACCCACTGGCTAAAAAAAAAAAAAAAGAAATTCTTGTATTCGTGTTCATTTATTTCTCAAACAAATGCGGAATGTGTAAAGGACGATCGAAGAACAACACCACAGACACAGACAACAGACACAGAGACACAGACACAGTACAGACACAGAGACACAGACACAACACAGACACAGAGACACAGACACAGTACAGACACAGAACATAGACGACACAGACACAGAGCACAGACGTAGACACAGACTAAAGACTTACACCACAGACACAGACACAGTACAGACACAGAGACACAGACACAGAGACACAGACAATCACAAATACAGACACAAACACTAACACAGACACAGAACATAGACGACACAGACACACACCACAGACACAGTACAGACACAGACAACAGACTCAGAGACAAAGACAACAGACAATCACAAATACAGACACAAACACTAACACAGACACAGAACATAGACGACACAGACACAGAGCACAGACTAAAGACACACACCACAGACACAGTACAGACACAGAGACACAGACAATCACAAATACAGACACTAACACAGACACAGAACATAGATGACACAGACACAGAGCACAGACGTAGACACAGACTAAAGACACACACCACAGACACAGTACAGACACAGAGACAGAGACACAGAGACACAGACAATCACAAATACAGACACAAACACTAACACAGACACAGAACATAGACGACACAGACTAAAGACATACACCACAGACACAGACACAGTACAGACACACAGACACAGTACAGACACAGACAGACAGAGGTGAAAAAGCAAAGAAAGTTCCGCGTGTTGTGAATTTGGGGAGTAGAGCCTCTTCCCCAAACGTGTCGCTCGGAAACGTAAAACCAACGTTAAAAACACAACTTGACGACGGGAGTCAGACTTTGTTCTGCTGAGTTTGTCTGTGATTTTCTGCTCTTCTGCTGAGTTCGTTGTTGTTTGTTGCTGCAGCTCGTGATCCTCAGCGACGTGTTGGGAGGAATCTGACCTGCGGCAATTATCCCGCTGCTCTTTGTTTAAACGACGTTATTTAACCAAATAATGGAGGTTGACAAATGAAACTTTTGAAGAGAAATGTGATACAGGAGAAGCTACACTGCAGGCATTTTGGCACCCAGATATAAACATTTAAATCAAGTTTTTCAAGTGTTTTTAAGGTATTATTTCCAAATTCATAAATTCAAAGCTTTTAAACGTTTTTAAGACCCTGGGTTAAGTGTGTCACAGAGTCCAAGTGTGTCATGTCAACCAGGTAAATCTTCTGATTGGCCTAAAGCAGAGTCCAGATAATCCTCACAAGAACACACAAGAACACACAAGAAGAACACACAAGAACACACACACAAAGAACACACAAGAACACACAAGAAGAACACACAAGAACACACAAGAACACACAAGAACACACACACGAAGAACACACAAGAAGAACACACAAGAACACACAAGAAGAAAACACACAAGAACACACACACACACACAAGAACACACAAGAAGAACACACAAGAACACACAAGAAGAACACACAAGAAGAACACACAAGAACACACAACACACAAGAACACACAAGAAGAACACACAAGAACACACAAGAAGAACACACAAGAACACACAAGAACACACAAGAAGAACACACAAAGAACACACAAAAACACAAGAACACACAAGAACACACAGAACACACAACACAGAAGAACACACAAGAACACACAAGAAGAACACACACAAGAACACACAAGAACACACAAGAACACACAAGAACACACACACAACACACAAGAAGAACACACAAGAACACACAAGAAGAACACACACACACAAGAACACACAAGAACACACAAGAAGAACACACAAGAACACACAGAAGAACACACAAGAAACACAACACACAAGAACACACAAGAACACACAAGAAGAACACACAAGAAGAACACACAAGAACACACAAGAAGAACACACAAGAACACACAAGAAGAACACACAAGAACACACAAGAACACACAAGAACACACAAGAACACACAAGAACACACAAGAACACACAAGAACACACAAGAACACACACACACAGAACACACAAGAAGAACACACAAGAAGAACACACACAAGAACACACAAAAGAACACACAAACACACAAGAAGAACACACAAGAACACACAAGAACACACAAGAAGAACACACAAAAACACACAACAACACACACAAACACACAAGAACACACAAAAGAACACACAACAACACACAAGAACACACAAGAACACACACAAAGAACACACAAGAACACACACAGAAGAACACACAGAAAACACACAACAACACACAAGAACACACAACACACAAAAACACACACAAAAGAACACACAAGAACACACAAGAGAACACACAAGAAACACACAAGAAACACACACACACAGAAGAACACACAAGAACACACACAACAAGAACACACAAGAACACACAAGAACACACATGAAGAACACACAAGAACACACATGAAGAACACACATGAAGAACACACATGAAGAACACACATGAAGAACACACATGAAGAACACACAAGAACACAAGAAGAACACACAAGAACACACAAGAACACACAAGAACACACAAGAACACACAAGAAGAACACACAAGAAGAACACACAAGAAGAACACACAAGAAGAACACACAAGAAGAACACACAAGAACACACAAGAACACACAAGAAGAACACACAAGAAGAACACACAAGAACACACAAGAACACACAAGAACACACACACACAAGAACACACAACACACAAGAAGAACACACAAGAAGAACACACAAGAACACACAACACACAAGAACACACAAAGAACACACAAGAACACACAAGAACACACAAGAACACACAAGAACACACAAGAAGAACACACAAGAACACACAAGAACACACAAGAAGAACACACAAGAACACACAAGAACACACAAGAACACACAAGAAGAACACACAACACACAAGAACACACAACAAGAACACACAAAAGAAGAACACACACACAAGAACACACAAACACACAAGAACACACAAGAACACACAAGAACACACAACACACAAGAAGAACACACAAGAACACACAACACACAAGAAGAACACACAAGAACACACAAGAACACACAAGAACACACACAACAAGAACACACAAGAACACACAAGAACACACAAGAAGAACACACACAGAAGAACACACAAGAAGAACACACAAGAACACACAAGAACACACAAGAACACACAAGAAGAACACACAAGAAGAACACACAAGAAGAACACACAAGAACACACAAGAACACACAAGAACACACAAGAAGACACACAAGAACACACAAGAACACACAAGAACACACAAGAAGAACACACAAGAACACACAAGAACACACACACACAGAAGAACACACAAGAAGAACACACAAGAACACACAAGAACACACAAGAACACACAAGAAGAACACACAACACACAAGAAGAACACACAAGAAGAACACACAAGAAGAACACACAAGAAACACACACACAAGAACACACAAGAACACACAAGAAGAAACACACAAGAACACACAAGAACACACAAGAACACACAAGAACACACACACACAAGAACACACAAGAGAAGAACACACAAGAACACACAAGAACACACACAACAAGAACACACAACACACAAGAACACACACACAGAAGAACACACAAGAACACACAACACACAAGAACACACAAGAAGAACACACAAGAAGAACACACAAGAAGAACACACAAGAACACACAAGAAGAACACACAAGAACACACAAGAAGAACACACAAGAACACACAAGAACACACAAGAACACACAAGAAGAACACACAAGAAGAACACACAAGAACACACAAGAACACACACACAGAAGAACACACAAGAACACACAAGAAGAACACACAAGAACACACAAGAAGAACACACAAGAACACACAAGAACACACAAGAACACACAAGAACACACAAGAAG